GTGTGTGTGTGTGTGAGAGAGAGAAACACCAGGCGCACGTGCCAATCAGTCTGTTTGTCTTTGTCCACTGACTGTCTTCGTCTCCTTACGTGCGAGGTCTAGGAAGAGGAGGCATCTTGCTCCAGAAAGTGTTTGTTTTGGTCTGCGTGCTGTCGAGCAAATGTGAAACAGTTGCACTTAGTGTTGTTGGGACACTTGGAAAAACAAATGTCCACCTTTTGCTTGGGGCTGACAGAGGTCACAAGGCAGCACCACTGTGTAATTCACTCGGGTGGAGGAAACAAGATGTTTTAATTGATGACTAAGACCGGGCCTTCAAGTTTTTTCACTGTCCATTGATATGACTCACACTTACTCACACTCAGTTTTGTACACTTAACCACATTTGTAGTTCTTGGAATTCCTCTCTGGCCTTTTAAAGAGATGTGTCATCACAGGGGTCGTATAGGAGCATGAGCTCATCACAGATTCACATTCCAGGAAGGGATGAGACATATTGTCTGTATGGTAAATCCGAGAGCAAAGGTTCCTGGAATGTGCAGGGAGGAATCTCCTCTTAAGAGGTGTTCACTAGCATCAAACTGGCTGTCGGGGTCCTAACCTGATAACTCACTCATCTATTTAACATCCCTCCCCTCAGTCTTGAGTCACAATCTTGTCCTCCTTTCACTCCTCATTACTTGTAACTGATGTTTTCTTGTCTTAAAGTGGATAACTTCTGGCTTTAAACTCAGCCTATTTATCTTTCTAGTTCTTTAATTTCAAATGTGATCACATATGTTGCACCTAATGCAAAGCCTCTAATAGTTGCATTTAATGTTATGGGGTGCTTGTGATGTTGAATTTATGCTTGTTTGAAGTTTGCACTCATTGTATCTTGCAAACAGGGACAATATATAAGAGTGTGGGTGAGCAACTTGTCTCATAACTGCACCGTCTGGGGTTTCAGTCCAGCTCAAAACATTTGGCACATCACCTTGTGTTCCTTTTGCTTTCTAACCAAGGACCATGAACTACGTGCATACTTGTCAAACCAATACCAGAAGAAGTATCAGTTGGTTAAATTGTATGCGTTGGTGTAGCTTGCAGTATTGTAATACATCAATGTGTGATACCACTTGCAGTAAGCAGTTAGAGACTATGACTATGGCGACATGGGTTTAACATGTAATCTATCAGTGAGAAGTAATACCTTTTTAGGGGCGTTAGTGAACTTTGAAGTACAACTTTGAGGACAACATGACATATAGATTTGTAACCTAAATTTTTCGATAAGATCTTGACGACAGTCGCCATTGTGCTTTTTGCTAAATATGTTATCTGTTTTATCAGTGCTGTGTGTCGTCAAACTGCTCCTTAAAAGGACCGTACCTTACGTGTTTTAGTGGACCAGTGTGTAGGATTTAGTGGCATCTAGGGGTGTAGTTGCAGAGTGCATCTCGATCAGTTCACTCCCCCTTCCCTTTTTAGTGGACATGGTTGACTGATCACGATAAGAGGTTTTTTTCTTTTTTCTTTTTGTGTTTGTGAACTTGTTCTTTTATCTGCTTCCGTTATTTGGTCTGTTTTTACTCCACTGATTCCACCAAGTTATGAGCCCTTTGTGATGCATTACAGCTTTTATGAGCACCTGCAGGCTAGAACTGTGTGCTTAAACTCTCACTAATGACAACGAACATTGGTGGTTAGAATTAATCCTAATTAATGTTAGTCTGTGATTCCATAATCAAGTAATCATGGTATCAAGGAATTTATTCGTCATTGTACAAAACAAGGCTGTATAACGAAATTAAGGTTTGTAGTTCCTTCATGCTACATACATTCAAATTCATAGAATAACATAAAAAGATAAGTAAAATAAGATACATATATATAGTTATTTATATACATATATACATGGTCCGCCTGTCGTGTGCTGATCCAGGATGTTAATGGAGCAGGTCTCTCTATAGATGTGGGCACAACAGGCTTTGATTTCTCATTGTTTGGCCAGTCCCATTTCATCCAAAAATTGGACAAGGAGCAGCTTTAAGTCCAAGCCTATCTGGCTTTCTTCCCTCTACAACAGCACCCGCTGTGGTGGAGCTGGTCCTGTCCGGTTGATCTGGCTGGTAGATTGTGCTCTTTAATCTTTATCCCACCTTTTCTTTTCTGATGTGAGGGTTGAAGAAGCTAGCCTTCTGTTCGCAGCATCTGAACGTGTAGCCATAGTCTGAATCTTCTGAATTCAGTCGTTTTGAATAATTTGGCTCAGACCCAATCAGATATCATTCAATGACATTTTCAGCAAGCAATTTTTGTTTTGAAGGAGCTGCCGGCCGCTGCATCTTCACACGCAGCCACTAATTCCAAATGAAGATGCGTTTCAGAAAGCGACTTAAAGGGCAAAGAATGGCTTTTCTGATTAAAACCTGCTTTATACCTGCCTGGGAAACTGGTGCCCAATCTGCAGCCCTTTGTCTATAGCCAGTTTGATTTCTTTTAAATGCATTTTAAATGTCTTGAAAGGCACCAAAAAGTCCCATTAGCTTTCTCAGTGTGCAAAAGTGTAGTCAAAATGATACAGAGCTGTATATCTCAAACAAATTCACATCCGTCTCATAACTTTCAGGGAAAGTCCCTAGCACGTGGAAATGCTGCTTGCTTCCACAATGAATCAAATTGGTTTCCTGTCTTTTAGTGTTTTATATCAGGTAATTTATGCGTTGAACAGTTAGATGAGATGTGACAGACCAGGAGGAAGTAAAACTGCTCAGGTTTTCATGGTAACAGCAAAAGCCAGCAAACATGAAGAACTTGAACGTTCTTCAAAACATTCTCGTGCTCGGCTGAAGAGATGAAATAGAAAGGAGAAAAGGGCAATTCAGGTCTCGGGCAGGCACGGTAGCACATGAACTTTACCTTGCTAGACTACTACCGTGTTTGTTTACTTCTTGAAGTTACCTCCCTGTGCCTGCCCTACTACTGAGCTCATGGTGAGCCTTGTGTTTCGCACGCTGCTGCTCTGTGCTCGACAGCCAGTGGGCGGGAAGCGAGCGAGCGAGCAATGAGTGAGTGACTGAATGTGTTTGGGAGCATGGCACATAACAGGAGTAAGGGGGAGGAAAGGGGAGCCTTGTTGTGTGTGGGAGGCCTGTTTAGATTGGGATTTGGCAAGCTTCTGCATGAGCATGTTGATACCCCAAACCCCTTTCATCGTTAGTGCTCCCAAGAGACGACTGCGCTCCCTCTGTTGTTGATGGTGCATGTGGTCAAGATGCTGCTTCCATGTCTCTTTTTCTCTCCTCTTCACCCTCCTCCCACAGCCCTCCTCCTTTTCCCACTCTTGTTTTGCCTGCTAGCCTTGCCTGTGCTCCCCTCCCCCGCATATTCCCTCCTATGTTCTGCTTGTTTACATCTTGTTGTGCAGTTCACGCGCAGGGTGTGTTGGTTGTTTTTTTTTTTTTTCTAAACCTGCGTATGTGCGGCTGACTGATCAGGAGGTACACGTGCGCATGTATGAGTGCGCGTGTACATGAACCTGTGCCGTCCACTCTGTGCACTTGCCTCTAGAAAAAAGCGTGTTGTGATGTCATTGACTGCTACTCGCACTCTCACAGCGAGTCAGAGCCGCCCGTTGGTACTCCGCCCCCCTTAGCTCTGCAACAACACCAACCAAGAGCAGCATCTTGCTCAGAGAGGAGAGGATGCTGGTATTACTGTGAGGAGAAGGGAAGAGGAGAGAGACTGAAAGTGAAGAGAGAAGCGTAAGGAGTGTAAGGACATGAAGAGTGGAGGATGCTCAGACTAGTATTGCTTGCCAGGATAAACAGCAGTATTGACTGTCTGTTATTGTTGTTTGTTTATATGCAGAACAGATGAAAGAGACAGTTTTGTAGCACACATTAGTAGGTTTTATAATTTTTAATTAGATTCCACAGTGTGTGTGTGTGTGTTTCTGACGCATTTAGGTATCAGTTATTCACATTGTGATGTGTGTAGCGGTTAGCTGGTGCAAATTAGTTTGCATGTAGTCATGACAATGTGCACACATTTGTGTGGACTACACTTGGATAGCAGCTGCTCTATAAACTGGGCCAATGAGACCTCAACTGCATCCCCACACGCTGCTATAAATAAACATGATGAAATGACATACTCACCTCCACTCTTAAACACACACACTGATTGGAATAAGTAGTGGCACACAGAGGATACTGAAGATGTTAATCATCCTCTAGTGATTCCTATGTTGCGCCTCTCAAGGCTTAACTGAGGCATGAGAGGAAAGATTAATGCACAGTCTGTACATGTTACATTAACAGTTGCATACATCATTTCTTGAACCACCACCATTGAAATTGAGTCACAAAGAAGATTAACACGTTTAAGTCAGTAATTCAAATATCTAGTGCAACTTTTTTTGCTTAGGCGTACCATTGTTTTCCTGAAATATAGTATGTTTTTATTGTTAATCCGCCAGGTTAGTTCTCAAATGCTTTTTCACACATCGTAAGAGCCAGTACCTGACAAATGGGTGATGAGTCTTTGTTAGTGTTTCTTCAATATATTTTATCACACTTGTTCTAAAGAAATAACACCTAAATTCCCATTCACACACACATGTCCAGGAGGAAAACTTGTGTCTCTATGTGTTTCAGTGGGACTGCATGTGATGCAGTCTTGTTAAACGTTAAAATGTTGAAAGTTGAGTGTAACTTTTTTTCAAAATTGGAGTATAAAAGCTTGGTAACCATGTGATGAATGAAATTTGCTATAGACCTTCATGGAGCCTAGAGGATCACTGATGGGGTCACTGTACATATGATAAACCCTTTACATTTATGTAACAACATGGCCTTTCCTCTGGTATCACCTTCACGCTACACTTAAACTGGTGTGCAATAAGCATTATAACCCCACAGGGCTGCTCATGTGGTTATAGAATATAGGCTTCCTCTTCTTTTGTGTTTCTTTTCTCTAACTGCCTTTCTAGCTGTCTATGTATGACCAACCACCTTAGTATTTTACCGTTTCCTCAGGCAGCTGGAAGGCTTCGGTGATGTGTTAGTCACCCAGTAAGCTTAGGTTGTTTGCAATTCAGACTGTCTGTTGTGGTTTGAGCCTTCTCCAACTGCAGGCATGGCATCCCAAAAACCAGAGAAACACATGAGCACCAGAGTAAGCCAGCAGGCGAGAGTGAGATTGAGGAAATCATTCTAGCCTTGAGGTATCATCTGAGTCTGACTTCAAAAATGACTCAAGTGTTGCACATCTAGGCCAATTGACAATTATTTTCCCACATTGGATGGTGTAAATTTTGACCTGATAACCAAGCATTCCTCCTTCTCTGTATTTTAGCATCACAGTTGTAATGTAAGGTACAATTGTATAGTCACAAAAGGTTGATTCATTTTCTGTTTTTGTAGGAAGAAGCGTTTGGAGGATTTGGAACGGTTGCTGAGCAGAAAAGAATACAGAGCCCTTCAACAGTGTCTTCAGGTAAAGTTACTGAAAAGTAATTCTATACTGTCTATCAGGGACTTTACTAGTGTCTTGAGGTGCCTGTCTATATCAGTGCTTCCTTGCTAACTAAATGTCCTCTGTCTTGTGCTCTGATTTTATCAGTGGGCCCACCCTTACCAGAAAAGAAACCCAGAGGCCGTCCCCCACGGGCCCTGACTGCCCAGAAAGCTGCTGCAAGTCTACCATCTCCATCCTCTCTTCCCTCCCCCACACAGGCGAAACCTGAGGGCCCTGAAAGGCCAGCCGAGAAGGTGAAAAGACTGCCTGGGAGGCCACCTGGCACCGGGGAGAAAAGAAGAGGTCGACCCCCATCTTCAAGTAGCAAGAAAGCTTGGAGTACAGGCAGCCATGCTGCAGGGGAGGACAGTAGACATGTTGGGTCTGAGCTGGGCATTGACACAGAGGAGGACAAGGACAGAAAGGGCGCCAAGAGGACGCCACTGGGCTCTGCTCAGCCACATGACACTGAGGCAAAGCTTCCCAAAGGTGGGCGAGGTGAATCCAAAGTTACCAGCCTGAAGAGGCTGAGAGCGACTAAACTCGCCCCTCTCAAGTCACGGCTCAAGACTTTGCCTGGTGTTCCCCGACGCAGACGTGGGCGACCGCCCTCAGCCGAGCGACTTAAAGCTGAGGCAGCGGCGGCCGCTGCTGCTGCTGCTGCTGCACAGCTGTCTACCTCCATTGAATGTGGGGATGGGAAAAATAAGGCCTTTAGGGTCAGAGGGGGGGATAGAGGCACAGAACCACACACTCCGCAGCAGCCTATGCTGAGGAATATGGATGGTGCTGAGGACCAGGACTCTTCCAATCCACCTGCCTCCCCGTCTCCCTCCAAGCCAGGCAAGACAGTGGGCCTCAGAAAAAGCCCTCGCCATAGAAAGCCTGTCAGAATTGTCCCCTCTTCTAAACGCACTGATGCAACCATAGCCAAACAGCTGCTGCAGCGTGCTAAGAAAGGAGCACAGAAGCGGCTGGAGAAAGAAGCTGTAGCCATCGGGGGCAGTGGGGCAGGAACCATTGAAGCTGGCATCAGGAAGACCCAACTGAAGAATATCAGGCAGTTCATCATGCCTGTGGTCAGCACTGTCTCCCTTCGCATCATTAAAACCCCCAAGCGCTTCATTGAAGATGAGGGCAGCTTTGGAACCCCACCACCACATATGAAGATGGCGCGGTTAGAAACAACCCCCTCATCTGTCTCCACATCTGCCCAACCCACCTCCACCACCTCCTCTTGCCCCTCTCCCGTACTGGTCTCCTCTACACCTGCTGTTACCAGCACTGGCAACACTGCTCCGATAGACTCCCTTCCCCCTCCTCCACCTCCTGCCCCTACCCCCAGCGTGACATCAACAGCTGCCAGCCTGCTCAACAGCAACACCAACAGCGCCGCCAACGGGCGATTTAGCAGCAGTGCGGCATCTTGCGGCTCAAGTGCTATGTCGCAGCTCTCCTCTGCAGAGTCTTCCAGGTCCAGCAGCCCTAGCTTGGATGACTCATCATGCGACTCCCAGGCTTCTGAGGCCACACAGGCTTTGTCAGAGCCAGAGGATCACTCTCCGTCCTCGCAAGGAGAGAGGGAGGCCAACCTGTTACACAGCTCACGGCCTCCCTCTCCACCCTCTGAGCCAGAGCCAGAGCACGTGTTGGCAGAGAGGAATCGACGAGGCCGGAGAGGACAGGGGGTCGGCCGGGGAAGCCAGAGGGTGAGAGAGACTCTAACCACTGGGGGTAAAAAGCCTATCATCAGCCCGCCAACGGGAGTGCTGATGTCCTCCTCTACACTTGTGAATTCCCAACAAGCTTCATCCACAGCCTCTTCCTCTTCGTCACCTCCACCTCCCCCTCTTCTAACCCCTCCACAGGCTCCCCAGTCTGCTTCCTCCAATACAGCTGCTATCAGTGAACACCACCCACAGTCGTCCTGGATGTCTCACCCCATCCCTCCATTCCTGTCTGGACCATCAGTGCTGTCCAGCTTGTCAGACAAACGAAGCCGCTCAATTTTGAGAGAGCCCACCTTCCGCTGGACGTCCCTGTCCCACCCTGAACAGCAGTACTTTTCTTCAGCTAAATATGCCAAGGAAGGCCTCATCCGCAAGCCCATATTTGACAACTTCCGTCCTCCCCCTCTCACAGCTGAAGACGTGGGGCTGTTGCCCCAAGGTCTTAGTGGAGCAGGGGGAGCTGCTCCAGTTGCTTTCCCAGCACCAGGCAGCGGATCGGGAAAAGGGACTCGTCTGTTTGCCCCTCTTCACACGCACACACACCACCAACATCCCTCTTCATCCCGCTTTGATGCACCACTCCAGAAGCGCAGCCCGTTGCTTCGTGCTCCGCGCTTTACACCCAGCGAGGCCCACTCTCGGATTTTTGAGTCTGTTACCCTGCAGTCATCTTCTGGAAGCAGCCCTGGCTCTCTCTCCCCGCACCAGAGGTCCTCTAGCTCCAGCAGAACCTCACGGCGCAGGAGACGGGTGGTCTCGGGAATACCGCGTGGCCATCCACGGTCTCCTTCCCATTCAATGACCAGACGCAGCAGCCAAATGGGAGGCCAGATATCTGTGGGGAAAGGCTCCTCTGAGATGTCTGTTCTGACAGGCTCTGTCTCCAGTAGTAACCCCAGCTCTTTGCCAGGGGTTTCTGCAAGTCCACTAGCCACTAGTGCCTTAATTTCTCCTCCTTTCAGCACCTTCACCACCGTATCCCTGGGTCTGGCCTCACAAGGGACACCTGATACCAGAAGAGGGGCAGCTGGAAACCCACCTCCTTTGTCGACTACATCATCCTCTTCTTCCCCACTTTTCCCTCTCTTTCCTTCCAGTGCCCAGGACACGGGGCGAGGAGCTGGGAAAGGAGGTAAAGAAAAAAGCTTGTCAGCTCCCCAGGAACCTGCTCCAAAGGAAAAAGAAAGGGATTCTGAGAAAAACAGAGAGAAAGAGAAGGAGAATAAGAGGGAAGGGAGGAAGGATTTGGAGAAAAGAAGTAAGGTTTCTACGCCAGATGGCTCCCCCAATGCACCTTCCAGCCTGTTTACAGTTGATGGGAGGGACTCAGAAGATGCTCTTTCATCTATTGCTCCCAAAAAGGCTCCAGGGAGAAAAAAATCAACATCAGTTGACATAGTTTCTGACACTGCTTCCCCAGAGGTGCGTGGGGTCCATTCCACTGTTCCCATGTCCATTGCTAAAGGGCGTATATCTAAGAAAGGCAGACCCCCTGAGAAAGGAGCAGAGATTGAGGATGGGGAAAAGGAGAAAGAGAAACAAAGTGCTCCCAGCCAGCAGATAGCAAGCCTTCCAGGGCAGCCAGGCAGAGAACAGCTCGCTGTCTCCTCTATTGTCTCAGAGACTGACAAGCGGGTTGTTGGACTACTGAAGAAGGCCAAAGCTCAGCTCTTCGAGATCAAGAAGAGTAAGCTGAAGCCCGCAGACCAGACCAAGGTCCAGGTCAGTTTTTCCTTTCATGTCTTGCCTTCACAGTTGAGTTGTGTCTCCTCAACAAAAATCTTCTGTTTCTCTCATTCTTATTATATAGCCACAAGCAAGTGACTTTGACATGATGCTATGAATATTTGCTATAAATAGAAATCTGTGTTTGTACTCAAAGTGTAACTTGATAATGGGAAAGTCCCACAGAGAGTGTTCCTTATGGGGAATTCTGTTAACCTCATACATTATGCAGAAAGCAGCACTGGCTGTGTTTTTGAAAGTATTGTAACAGAATATACTCCCCTGTCTTCCTTCTGTTAATTTAAAGATAAGATTATTATTCATTGCACGTTGTCAAGAGAAAAATTCCCTGTTTAGCTCATCATAGCCTCTGCCCAACTTCTAGTATTGACAGTGCCTGCCCCCCCACATCATCAGCTTCATCATTATTGGACATTTTCCAGAGATAAGAGTTTTATTGTTTTTTTTTTTTAATTACTTAACCCTCTAAAGACATAAGCAACATCCTAAAATGTCAGCCTGTTGTATTTGTGGTGGTGTGTCATTGTCTGTGAATTTGTTATTATTATGAGGCATGCTCTTCAATGCTCTTCTTCTTTTTATGGCGATGTGTTGTTGTGAGTAGGGTCAAGAGAGTGACTCGTCAGAGGCTTCAGTCCGTGGTCCACGCATCAAGCATGTATGTCGTCGTGCAGCTGTGGCTCTTGGTCGTAATCGGGCCGTGTTCCCTGACGACATGCCCACACTTAGTGCCTTGCCCTGGGAGGAGAGAGAGAAGATCCTATCTTCCATGGGGAACGATGGTGAGACACACTCAGCTTACCTCTCATTTAAATTGCATGTGGATTACAACCTGGCTGCTAAAGTTTATTGACTCGAGGAAATGTTTATTGACTATGTGGAGTTGTTAATATAATGAATGACAATACACAGCCTGATGGTAATGGGCTTAACAGAATTGCCAGATGTTATAGTTTAACAGGTCAGTAGGTCACATGTATACATATACCTTTTAACCTATTATTTTAATGAAAGCAGCTCGGGAAAAACACTGACGATGAATTCATAAAGCTGAAAACCTAAGCAGGCTTCTTATCTGGTCAGCTGGACCAGCTGGACCAAACGCCAAAGAGCTGTTTCTATCAATATAATAGCTCCAAAAAATATTAAAAAAGGTGATATCTAACAAGTTTGGCTGGAGGTATTGTAGGTGCTAAGCTATCTTGTCCAATGTTTGCAGCTTCCGTTAGAGCAGATAAAGACAAAGTTTAATCCCTTCCTCACATGTTTGCTCTTGTGTTGGAGGTTTTTGAAAGACAACAAAAAAGACACCAACCTCTGAACTTCTGAGACACTCACTAATGCTCTCAAACATGTAGACAAATCCAAAGCTTGACAGGCCTGTGGCGTCTGGTGACAGCTACTACGCTATGTTTGGATAGTTGCTGCTCGCAAGAGGGGTTTAGCAAAAGGTCAATTGAGCGTTATTTATGACACAACATCTCTGTGAGTCCTGAAAAAGTTCTGCAGCATACAGTGATGACAGACTAATCATGAGAGCAGAGAAATCCAGTCATCAATGAGAGCACAAGTACACAGTGAAGTGATGATGAAAGTTTGGCTGCCTTGTTCCTGTTATTTTGACTGCTTTCATGGCATGTCAGAACATGTGAATTTTTGTGAGGCTGGAGGACCTGATGTCAGCGACGGATCAATAGCTCAGTTATATCATTCCCATGTTTGCCTGGTCGTTCAATCTGAGAACATCTGTGTTTTGACATCTCATATTATTTTATGTGCGATATAAGGGATATATTTAAATGTATTTTATGGATAGGGCTGCACAGTTAATCGAAATATTATCGAAATTGGAATATGGTCAAGTGCAATATCCAAATCGCAGAAGCTGCAATTTTTTGATAAAAGTAAATTGGCAGTATATTGAAGTACTGTGGTGCTGCAGAGATGCCCTGGCCTACAAATCTTTTCAGAAACGTGTTTGTTTGGTACAGACCCCAACAAATGTCAAATCATTATGTTTTTAGTTTTTTGTTAATGCAAAAATGTTCCCACTAATCATGAATCATAACACCATTGTAATATCTGTCATATATGTCACTATTTTAAAAAGAGCCTTAGTCCAATGTTTACATTTTTGGCTTTTCTTTTTCTTTTTTTACAATATTGTAAATTTGTGATTCTTAAGTGTGCTTAACAACGATGTGCAAAGGACTTCTATTCAATGTCTTAAACCCTGGAGTCGAGTAAATACTATACCACTGTGTGTCAGTAATGATGACATCTATCTATGATGTGTCTCCTTTTTCAGATAAGTCATCAGTAGCAGGCTCCGAGGAGGCAGAGCCTCAGTCCCCTCCCATAAAGCCAAGGGAGACGCGGCAAAAGGCCGTACAAGAAGCTCCCCCCAAGAAGGGACGTCGGTCACGACGCTGTGGCCAATGCTCAGGCTGCCAAGTTCCAGAAGATTGTGGTGTCTGTACCAACTGTCTCGACAAGCCTAAATTTGGAGGACGAAACATTAAGAAGCAGTGCTGCAAGTAAGTCTTAGCTGATGAGCTGTTTAGTGCAATAGATTATTGTAATTCTTTAGTTAGTGGTGAGTAAAATTTCATAACAATTACATTTTTAAATACACATTTTCGTGTGTCATTGTCTACAGGATGAGGAAGTGTCAGAACTTGCAGTGGATGCCTTCCAAGATGATTCCTCAGAAGCAAGCCAAAGGCAAGAAAGACAAGAAAAAGAACAAGTTGGCTGAGAAAAAGGAGGGTCTCAATCCGGTAAAAGGACCTGTCTCAGAGTCGGGCCCTAAACCCGCTCTTGCACTACCAAAAGAGGAACCTCCCCGAAAAAAGAGTGAAACTCCTCCGCTGAAGGTGGGAGAGGAGAAGTCAAGACAGCAGCCGACGTCAAAGCAATCATCTCCAGCCCTCGCATCTTCCCCCGCCCCCGTCGAACCCCCTCAGTCAGTCACAGCCCAGGGTCAGTCTCCAGCACTGACGCCGGACACCAAACAGCTCTCCGTCATGAGCAGTGTCACCAGTAAGAAAGGACACAAACCACAGCTGTCTGTACCAACATCCTCCTCCTCATCGTCATCCTCCTCTTCCACTTCATCATCTTCTTCATCCTCATCATCTTCCTCCCCGTCATCTTCAGCCCAGAATTCCCCCTCCCAGTCTTCGCAATCTCATCACCAACCATCGCAGCAGCAGCAGCAGCAGCAACGGCCTCTTACCAGTCAGACACCCTCAAAAAAAGATGCTTCACCCAAGATTCCTCTGAGCGAGCCCAAGAAGAAGCCCCAGCAGCACTCATCGCAACAGCAGAGCATAACTACAACTGTTTCAGAAACAGCTGAATCAAAACCGTTGAAGAAACCAACTTCTCGCTCTGTTCCTCCATCTCCTAAACAGAGACCAAAAGACAAGGTAACGGCTCGCTCACACTGCCTACCTGAGAAGCATGTGTGTGTAAGAAGTAGTAAATGTGTGAGCTTTAACCTATTGCTTTTATTTTTTTTATTTCCACATAATTCTCATTAAAGCTTTGGATGCTCACTGTATAGACCAACTGTAATGTCTGATATTCACACTCCTTCTCATTCACTCTCCTTTGTCTGATGAACACGAGAAGCCGCTGACCGCTAAACCCCCCAGCAGCAGTACTTTAAACTGGCTGAGCACTCCCTCGACTAGGGGCCAGACGAAGTCCAGAGCTCCCTGCGACGGAGTGCATCGTATCAGAGTGGATTTCAAGAGGGACCATGATGTTGAGAAGGTGTGGGAGGCTGGTGGCCTCAGCCTGCTCACCTCTGTGCCTGTCACACCCAGGGTGCTCTGCTTCTTGTGTGCAAGCAGCGGAAACGTTGAGGTAAAGAAATTGTTATTATCTTGCTTTTAAATTCCTTCTCCTATTCCCTTTTATTCTAACAGCCTCTTTCTTTCTTCCACTACCTTCCCTCTGTGTTTTGTTTTTCTCTCTTTCTCTCCATCTGTAGTTTGTCTTCTGCCAGGTATGCTGTGAACCGTTCCATCTCTTTTGCCTGGGGGAATCAGAGCGCCCTCTCCAGGAGCAGTTTGAGAACTGGTGTTGTCGACGATGCAGATTCTGCCAGGCCTGTGGACACCAGCACCAGAAAACTAAAGTAAGCCTTTCAGTACAGTTCTGTTCATTTTAAAGCTGTACACAAAAGAAGCTTAGTGCAGAGTGACAGTTTGTAAAGGCTGGCGAATCTTCCCTAGAAAGGAGCTTGCTAGCCATGCCAACAGACAGCACTTAATCAGCTTCTTGGATTCCTGCCATGATTTTATTATTTCACTCAAGTCCTGTGTAAAATGGGCATGGTGTGAGCTTTGTATGGCTGTCAATTATGTATAAACATATTTGGTCTAGGCAACACAATCAGTTGCCAGTTGGATTGTTTTGTCCTACATGTTAATAAGTTATATACATTTGGTGGTTAGTAAAAAAGCAGCAGATTATCTGGATGCTAAGGAAATAGATTTTCTTGGAACTAGAAATAAATCTTTCCCTAAAGGGTATTAAGTCATTTATTTCTTTGACTGGCTTTTATCTGTGACTGAAGAACTGCCTTAACAGCAGCAGGTCTGTGTGATGCCACAACAGAGCACGGCCTTGAGAGCCTCAAATCTCAGCTTCTTATGAGGCTACTGAAATTTCAAACTGCTGCTGATACATCAGATCTCGCATAATCTGAAATCCTTCTTAAAGGTGCCCTTTGGAGTTTTCTTGTAAACCAACAAAGTTTCTTTTGACAGTCAGTATTTCTGACATTTTTTCCCATTTCTATAGCCTTAAGGTTTAGCAAACATGTTGAGTGGATTTCCTTCCTCAAAAAAATATTTGCAAAGCCCAATTTTTTTTCTCAAACGTTTGAAGCCTGCATTGTTGACATCCATGTTGCTAGCGGTCTTCTTCCCTGCTGCGTTTCTAGCTCTAGATCAGTGGAACAGTGTGAAACAGAAATGTGTATCACATCACTTCAATGTAAATGCATGTACAACAAACAAAACAGGGGTGACATGTTAGTGGTCAAAAACTCCACAGGGTGCCTTAAATGCATCTTTACCATCAACACTGTTGCATTGCCAGACAAATAGAGAGTGGAAGCCTCATAAAACAGTTGTTAACTTGTCATGGATTTTTATTTTTAGTATGGTTTCAAGTATAGTTTGGTTTGCAAAGGAAAAAAAAAGTTCTGCAGCATAGCTGTATGTGTATTCTGATCATGTTGACCTAAAGCCACAGAAAAGACTTGTATGCATTTGCCACTTAAGTGGCTGTCTAGAAAACCTGCCAAGCACCGCTCTATACAGCTCACACTGTTGCTGCATAAAAATGCTCTTGATAATGATGTTCATTCATCCCTGAAGCCCCTTATAAATGTGCCCCTCAATAAATCTGCGGGAGCACCGTAGTTAAATCTCTGCATAAAACTGATCATTTTATAAAAACACTGTAATATTGCATTTAACTTGTTCATTCATTCATTTCCAAACAACACTGATTGCTAACCACCAAGGGACATATTTGTACATAATTTGCTGTGAACAGCACTGTGTTGTTTGATGGGTGTTAAAAAATTGAATGTTGCTTCGTTTGATATGTAAATGATCTCATCTCACTTTTGGCCTCTGCCACTGTAGCAGCAGCTGCTAGAGTGCGATAAGTGCCGTAACAGCTATCACCCGGAGTGCCTGGGTCCCAACCACCCTACCAGACCCACCAAGAAGAAGAGAGTCTGGGTATGGATACACACCATCTTCCTTTCGACTCCTTCCAACCTTCTCACCTTTATGTTACTGTAACAGTCTCACCAGTGCCTGACCAAACTTTACCATTATCACACATTCTTACCTCTCCTTTTGTTCACACATTCGTCCTGCTTCTCACGATTGTGCTACATACATTCATGGGACCCTCTCGCAGGCAGTGTCTATGAAAACACCATTCCTACTCTTTACACAACTGCTTGCAGGTTTCTTCCATGTTGTCACCACCTTGTTTTATGTGTTCTTTCTTTTTAGGTTTGCACCAAGTGTGTGCGCTGTAAGAGTTGTGGAGCCACTAAACCCGGGAAGTCCTGGGATGCCCAGTGGTCACATGACTTCTCCATGTGTCATGACTGTGCCAAACTCTTTGCTAAAGGTAGGTTATAAGCATGAGGAGCCCAAAATCCACTGTTAAGTAGTCAGTGTATATACAGCAGTGGTATTCTTTGTGAGATGAAAGGAAACAACCTGACTGTGCCAGATGGTTTGTTACAGACAACCATCCAGGAAGTTGTAGTTGGAAACTTTCAAAACATACTTGATAGGTGATTGGATGAACAATCCATCTGTCATCATGTATCATAGGCAAACTTTAACCAGTTAGATCAGTGAACCATATAATGTAGTCAGACTCTTACCGAAACCAGTTAGGAGAAGAGCGAAAGTTAGTTTCTATCAAGAAAAGCCTTCAGTGCCGTTCTTTGCTCAACATGCAGTGAAAAAATACTCTCCAGTTCTGATATAACAGCCCACCACCGTAGCTACCAGTACTTCCTCAAAGGACGCTGGTCCGGTACCACTGTAGTACTACAAACGCATAGATTAAAGCCTGTCAAAATGGATTATCTTGGATTATGAAGATGGATTATGTGTGATTTTTGTGATCACACAAGTTCAGGTGCCTCACAAGGTTACAAAAGAGAATGATTTCTGACCTGTAATTTGAAACCTTGGTCTAACCTCACTTTACCTGTTACCATCCCCTCTCTCAGGAAACTTCTGCCCACTGTGTGACAAGTGTTATGATGACGATGACTACGACAGCAAGATGATGGAGTGCGGCCGTTGCAAGCACTGGGTTCACGCTAAGTGTGAGAATCTGACAGGTCAGTAGGCCACCAAAAAAGACATGGTAGAAGATCATCAAGTTTACTGTGTGTTCCTCACAAGTAGAACACTGTATTTAGTGATTAGCATCACTTGTTGCATTTTCCTTGTCAGTTGTCAGTGTGTGTGCAGCTGACTGACAGGCTGTCCTGTGAGTGCTGTCATTTTGATAAGACAGTGAAAGACGGTAAACCTAATAATGGGAGCAATAATGACCTGTCATCTTTCGCCTGTCATCCAGATGAAATGTACGAGCTGCTATCAAAGCTGCCAGAGAGCGTTGCCTACACGTGTACCAAATGTACCGAACACCATCCTGCCGAGTGGAGGACAGCGCTGGAGAGGGAGCTTCAGGGCTGCGTTCGCCACGTCCTCACTGCACTTCTCAACTCACGCACATCCTCACACCTGTTACGCTACAGACAGGTCAGATACACAAACCGCTGCTTCTTCTACTACTGTGGTTTCCGTACATGTTGCTGTAAATTGGAGATGATTTTCATTCATTCTTTTAGTTGTAGTGTACCTTACTTTATTATGGTGCTGCACTCCTAAATACAGAGTAAACACTGAAGGATACACAGACATATTCTAGTTGTAACCACAGCTAAATGAGCACAATGGTGAGATCTTTACTTAGGGTGTAACTCTTTGGCTTTGGGGCAGGCGGTGAAGCCTCCAGAGCTGAATCCAGAGACAGAGGAGAGTCTTCCTTCCCGTCGTTCCCCGGAGGGACCAGATCCTCCGGTCCTGACAGAAGTCACCCCTGCACCTCCCAGTGACTCCCCTCCAGACCTGGAATCTGTTGAGAAAAAGATGGATCAAGGTCGCTATAATTCAGTGGTAAGGATCTTTTTTGTCTTTTAAGCAATTGTTTCTGCTCTTATGACAAACTAGACCTAGTGCATTTTACCACAGACCATATAAGAAGGGTGTATATTTTCTATGTTTTAGTCAAAAGGAGGTTATGTATGTACATTTACTGTATGTGTATGAGCGGATGGGAGGGATCTTTGCAAGCTAACATGGCTAAATATTTGCTAAACATGAGAAAGTCTATTTGCCACAAGCTCTTCAAAGCAGTCTGTATTTAAAATAATTGTTGTATTCTATGTGTCCCTGTCTCTTGAACCCGTGGTGTGCCCTGTGCTGTATAACTAACAGAGGCAGCTACTGTAATGACCTTTCCACCAAAGTTTATCGACACTTCACAGTTTTTACAATTACTCTCTGCCTGTGTGCGTCTGTTATCATTTCTCTCCCAGCTGGAGTTCAGTGATGACATTGTGCGAATCATTCAGACGGCCATCAATGGCGACGGTGGCCAGCCTGAGAGCAGGAAAGCCAACAGTATGGTCAAGTCTTTTTTCATTCGGGTAAGAACTTCTCAATCATATGGATCACATCAGTCCACTAAAAACACAACAAAATGCATTTCACAGGTACTCACAGATTTCAGTGACAGTAGCGTACTTGTACCCATTTTATTTGTTGTTGTTTGATGCCATATTCTTTCCCACACACATATAAACACAGTAATTATTGTGTTATTATTACGCATATATAAGTATCATGGTCAAGATGACATCAAGCTTGGGCCCTTCTGTTAAGCTACAGTTTCACTACCATTTTGCCCCAGATGTAGATTTGTGCAAATGCTTTAGGAGTGTGATAAACACACTTCATTGAATGTTTTCTGTTTCAGCAAATGGACCGAATCTTCCCATGGTTCAAGGTGAAAGAGTCCAGGTTCTGGGAAAGGCAAAACGTCTCTGCCAAGTAAGTGTCTATCGCACTGTAGTCAATACCAGAGGTTGTACCTATTAGTGTACAGTATCCAACTGTTCTGAGTAACTCATTACAGTTATGTAAGCCCTGATTTATCTTTACCAGCTGGTTCTAGATTACTTTTGCAGTGTTATGATGTAATTATTTGAAAATGAAGTAGATTTATGGACTAACCGTAGCAATTTTCATACCAATTTTGTTGTGAGTTTGCAAGTACAGCCATACAATCAGGCAAAAGTACTGGACAAGAAGTTAAAACGTAAGCTCCAACTAATGTGAACAAAGTCTGAAAGTCAATATTTAAACAACACCCCCTAGCAACCCCCTAGCAGGAGGTGCTCTCATTCTATATAGTAGTGTGTGATGTGCCTATATTTTCTATACTTGTAGCTCAAGTTATGTTTGTAATTACAGAGAAGCAAATTCGAAATGTAATACTCCTGTAATGTGAACCCGTCCAAAGAGCTTGGGGAAGAACTGCAGTTTTCAAGAACTTTAGGTCTATAATTATTGAAATGAGAAGTAAGATGTGGTTCCTTTGGCAGAAGATGTACCATCATCTGAGGGAACCAGAAAGCAGTGAACTAATATTTATAAAATGTGTGGGTTGACTGTAAATTTAGTGCAAATAACAGCCAAGGGGCAAGATCAGGATTTCATATGATAGTCACTTTATCTTTTTGAGTGACTAAGTTGTGTGATGTTTAGTTTTGGGAATAACAACTTAAATGCTTTTTCGGCCATGACTTCAAACACCAAAAGAGACTCTTTGAACAACTTAATAAATTAGCGACTGAGTGGAGTAGATCAGTGAAGTGGCTTTCTTTCACCATGGCTTATCTCAGGACAGTGACTGTGATTAAAGGTCCCAGTCATGTAATGAAATTGATTCCAGAGTTTCTCTGATTTAATGAGCCCAGTTGAGAGCTTAGTGGTGAATGTAAGTGGATAATAGATGATGAGAAGGCCGATACAATGTCACTGATTGCTGTGATTATCAAGATCGTCAGCATCTATATTTCTGTGTGCTGTATTTATTGACTAGAGAATAAGGGATCAATGAAATCAACTCCCATTCGCTGTAGTTCAGCTCGACTAAAGGTTGCAACAGATGATCAGCGATAAAACTGCTCTGCACTGGCTCTGCCATTGTTTTCCTCTGGGGAGAGCTGTGACACCCAACTAGGTGGAGGGATTTCACGTTGCGGGGAACGCCACCCAAAATTGCTACGAGCTCAAACTTTTTATTTTTATTTTATTTTATTTTATTTTTTATTATTATTTCAACTTTGACCTCAATTGCAGCACAACCAGTGAGATAACAGTAAGTTAGACAGTGATGGAAGAAATTTACCTCTTCTCTCTTAATAACACGTTAAACACTTTGTGAATAGGCATTTAATTCACAATCTTAGCTAGCTACAGTTAGGATAGGATAGCTATATAAAAAGTCAGTGACCAGCAAATGTTAGCTTAGCAACAGTAAATCTCATCATGTTGTTAAGTAGAAATTCTGATTTGACTTCGCGTCTACTTTGTGCCCAACCTCATGGTGAGCGAAGAGCATATCTCTTACCATATGAAGGCAGCTGAATGTGAGCAGTTACCTGAAACCTATTTATGGGGAGAAGCAGATATTGATCAGAGCACATGCCTTTCCATCAATGGAAATAATGAAATTATCATATTGAATAATTGATGCTGTTTAGAGAGATAACAGGCTTATGATCTGACATCATTTGAAGGATTAGCTCAAAACTCATAGCCACTTTCTTCACTTTGTAAATGAATTCTGTGGTTTTGCTGCACATTGTAAAGCCCGCTCATTCACACTCACTCACTCACTCATCAACTCTCTCACTTATATTGTGCTCTCAGCTTTCCCAGACCATTTATTCTGCCTATCCTCCAGGCATTGTGGGAGGCAAACCGTAACAGTGTCGCATTTCACTTGAAGGCTCTTTGATAGATATTTGTGGTCTAATTGTGGTTTACTTGTCAGTTTGGTCTTTTGCGTTATGCATCACTGCTCCAGTCCAGGAAACCAACCATCCATCCAGTGGATCCTGTGGCCATCGTTGGTTGGAGTCCTGTGTAGATGTCTGTGCTGGCATACTAAATATGAGACTTCACATTACACCAGTTCACCAGCCTTGCTTGACTTGGCAAAACTTACACTTGGCAAAGCTCCTTGGATGTGATATTTATTGCTGGTGTCACTACTCACTTACTACTCAGAGGAATTTTATATCTTATTCGGAAAAATAAAAAATAAATCCTGAGATATAGCAGCGCATATAATCTGTGTGATCGTGTTGAGGGATTAAACACCCTGTCAGTGTTTTCCAAAATATCTCGTGCATCTTTAGTCGCTGTCTGAATGATTCGCACAATGTCATCACTGAACTCCAGCTGGGAGAGAAATGATAACAGACGCACACACGCAGAGAGTAACCTCTAGTCTGTCACACAACCCTTCATATTGCACGTATCCTTATTAGAACCTTTCAAATGTATAATAATTGAGCAGGTTAGGTTCAGTAAGATTGCACAAAAGCTATATTGTTAACTTGTTATTGGGCAACATGATAACATTCCTTTACTTCAGCATCCAAGTCTTTCTTTGGGGAAACTCCACTCTGTTTTTAGAGTCTGTTTCATGTCCCTAGGCTTCACTGAAGTTGTAAACCCACATAATGATTTGTGCTGTTATTTTGAAGTTATTTGGGGTTGTTCTGTTGTTGCTTTGGCAATAAAACAATCACAACTTCTCATTTTAACCCACTCATTGTTACTAATAGGATGTCAGTTAATAATGCCTTTCTCTGTATGCCATTGTTCTCCAGCAGCGGACTCCTCCCGAATGCTGTGCTGCCTCCGTCCCTGGACCACAACTATGCCCAGTGGCAGGAGAGACAGGAGCTTTCCCGTGCTGAGCACCCCCACCTCATGAAAAAGATCATCCCAGCTCCCCGACCCAAGACCCCCGGTGAACCAGATTCTCCAGCTTCCCCTCCTCCTCTCCCTCCATCGCTACCCCCACCACCCCCACTCCTCCCTGGTAAGGCAGTCAGCAATATGTACAAATTCTTACACGCACGCTGTCTCTGCACATCTTGTCACTTGGTTTGATGATGTCTTCTCTTCAGATCGTGAAGACAGCCCAGAGCTCCCTCCTCCGCCAGGTGTTAGTGATAACAGGCAATGTGTTCTGTGTCTGAAGTACGGAGACGAGAACACTAATGTGAGTCAGAAATCTGCTTGGGCTCTCTTAAACACTTATAAGTATGTCTTTATGTCACTTGTAACATACCTGTTTGTTACAGGAGGGAGGTAGGCTGTTGTACATTGGTCAGAATGAGTGGACCCATGTGAACTGCGCCCTGTGGTCTGCCGAGGTGTTCGAGGACGACGACGGCTCTCTGAAGAATGTTCACATGGCTGTTCTCAGGGGAAAACAGCTGGTAAGACACTTTGTCAGTTACAGGTTCCCACTCTATTTTCAGTGTGTATTTGTCGGACAAACATTTACAAGCTGTTGTGCTTTGTATTCAGCGCTGTGAGAAGTGTCAGAAGCCAGGGGCCACAGTTGGCTGCTGCCTCACCTCTTGCACCAGTAACTACCACTTCATGTGCGCCCGCCAGTGCCACTGTGTCTTCCTGGAGGACAAGAAAGTCTATTGTCCAAAGCACAGGGACCTCATCAAGGGAGAAGTAAGAAAAGCACATCATTTACTCTATAATTTAAATCTTATCAATATATTAAGACTGCGGCAGACTGTGACTTGATGTTCTGAATTTTCTCCTCACCTTTCCTTTGTGTATTTATTTATTTTTTGTCTAGGTGGTGTCTGGGTTCGAGGTGACCCGCAGGATCCTGGTGGACCTGGAGGGCATAAGTCTCAGGAGGAAGTGGCTGGCAGGACTGGAGCCTGAAAATGTCCACATGATGATAGGTAGGTTGATTTCTGTTAGATGTTGCTTAAATACATTTTCTTTACTTAGTCCCAGTGTCTCCTAAATGCTGATTTAATCCTTGCAGGCTCCATGACCATTGATTGTTTGGGGATACTGACTGAACTCTCAGACTCCAAACGCAAACTCTTCCCAGTAGGATACCAGTGAGTTTTTTTTTTTTTTTTTACCGTTTCATTTTTTCAGAAAGGCTTCTGTTGCTATTTTAAGTACCACCATTTTTATTCTCTCTTCGATTAAAGCACAGCTAACTGCTGGAGGAAAGTTAATTGTGTCAAACTAAATAAAATGTCTTCTCTCCAGGTGTTCAAGGGTGTACTGGAGTACTTTAGATGCTCGAAAGCGCTGTGTGTATACCTGTAGGATCCTAGTTTGTCACCCTCCAGTGGTGGAGTCTGACCTAAAAAACATGATGGCTCCTGAGGAGAATCGCACGATAGCACACAGCCCACCTTCCATAACAGGTAACCTACAGAGTATAGCGACTTTATATAGTTCAGGTTTCAGTGTGTTACAGTGTGTGCCGTATATGGGACTACTGTTTGTTAAACTAACCTTGGTTATGTGTGAATTTCTCCCTTTTTCATGTTTAGACTTTCCTGATCCATTTGAATCCCCGAGGCGCTCTGACACCCTTTCCCCTGCCAACACCCCCAAGCTCAGGGTTTACACCAGGAACCGGCACCCCAGTTACCCCCCATGTCAGCGCTCGCTAGGCCCCAGGCCAATGCCCTCTCCAGGTAGAAATATGCATTTTCTTTTTAAATTTAGAACCATTTTTGAAAGAATTTGGTTCATTTTGATATTGTCCTCTCTCTACCTACATTTCAATTTCCATTTCTTTTATTTTGTAGGAGGTACCTCTCAGCCCCAAAGCCATGAGATTGTGACAGTAGGAGACTCTCTGGTGAACCCCAGCATGCGGAATATTGACTCCCGTCGCCACAGCTCGCCTTCTCTCTCCCCTCCTCCCCACCAGCTGAACAGACAGAGAGGTGTGACTTCGCCACCTCAGATTTTGTCACGACCCCTTACCTCACCCCCTCCTCTCATCCCCTCTCCTGCAAGAGACCCAGAAAAATCCAAACACCTCAGCAAAGACACAAAGAGTTCAGTCCAGAGAGATGACGAACGAGGTAAACTGTTTTCCACAGACAGAAACAGACAGCAGCCATCCAGAGACCAAGGGTTGAGAGATGCAGACAAGGGGAGAGTGTCAGGTCAAGACCAAGCTTCTAAGGATTCCGACAAGAATAGATCATCCAGAGAACTTGGGCAAAAAGACTCTGACAAGGGCGAAATACCAGCCAAAGAGCCAGAAAAGAGGAGACCACTGAGTAAAGACTCGGGTCTGAAAGAATCTGAGAGGGGAAGACCTCTCAGTAGAGATTCGTTAAGGGATTCAGAAAAGAGTAGACAAGTAAACAGAGACTCTGAGAAAGGGAGACAGACGAGCAGAGAGTCGAGCAATAGAGAAACGGATAAGAGCAAATCATCCTCTAGGGAGCCCAGTTATAAGGATAGATCGGTCAGTAGAGATGCAGGGCAAAGGGACTCTGAGAAGCATAGACAATATAGCAGGGAAACAGGAAAAGACTCAGGCCAAGGTAAAGACAGACTGTCTAGCAGAGACTCTGACAAGGGTAGACCCCCATCTAGAGATTCCAGTTATAGAGGCACGGAGAAAAACAAAGACTCCGGCTCAGGGAAAGATAGTAACCCTGGCAGTCAGTCCAAACAGGCTGGAGGTGACAGTAAGAGCCCCAGACTGGCACCTGCATGCTCAGGCCAGTCCTCCCCTCCTGTGGGAACTGCTGTTCTCACAGGTCAGCAGAGAGGTGGCAGCACCAAGCAGACGGACAAGCAAGGGAAACATGGAGGCAAAGATCAGGATGTTTCTGCAAGTCTCGGTTTGTTGTCTCGCCACAGGTCCAACCCCACCTCTAACATCACCCAGTCTAAGGAAAAGGCCAGCTCAGGAAAGGAGAGTAGCAGTGGCACTGGAAATTTAATGCCATCTTCACTCCACAAGGACTCTGTTGTTGGGAAATCTGGCTCCCCACAGTCTTCATTTCAGAAGTCCAATGCACGGAAATCAAATGATTACTCATCAGGTCCAGCCACAGCAGCAGCCATGAAGCCACTGTGGCCGTCAAGGACACCAGCAGAAGATGATGTTGTCAAGCGAGGCTCCATGCACCTGGCCTCCCCAGCTGCAGCCTCAGCTGCCAAAGACAAGCACCCCAAAGTTAAGACGGCAGGCAGCAGAGAGGTGTCCAAAGACCGTGAAAGAGAAAAGAGTCTCCAAAACAGCAACAGCAGCAACAAAACTCCCCTTCTCAACAATAATACGAAAGCCACTGGCAGCTCCAACACGCATGCTACGAACCCCAGCTCTCACAACAGCAGCAATAGCAAAACTCCAGTGCTCGGAAACAGCACCAAAGCCCACGGGAAGGCTCAGGGGGAGAAGCTTGAGAACCAGGGAGGGGACAGGTCATCCTCAAAAAGCAGAGAAAATTACTCTGGTCCTGAAAGGAAGAACAGCTCCAGTCTGGACAACTTACAGCAGCTGCAGCAGGGTGGCTTAGCTTCAGAGAAAGGAGTGAAGACCTCTTCCCAGCCACACACCAAACAAGCAACAAACCAGCTTCCGTTGTCCTCCAGAGAGAAAAAGAGATCCGTTAAACCCCCTACTGTAACTCCCCTAAAGACTGATATCAAAACTGACCCTAATGGGACCAGCACTGTTGGTGGTATTTCTTCTTCCTGCCCCACGACCACTACCTCCACCGTCTCTCCTGCCGGCCAGGGGACCCGTCACTCCGCCCGCTCCGCCCTCTTCTCCTCCCCCTCCGCCAGCAGCAGTGACAGCTCTGAATCTGACACCCAGACTCAGACAGAGGAAGATGATTTGCGCAAGGAGCACTCACGCAGCGAGCTCCGAGACCACCACAGCCTCACTCAGGGCACAGAGGATGAGGGAGATGGCCCGGAAGATGACCACGACAGAGGTATGGATGATAAACATCATGAGGACGACAGTGACGGATCCGGGTCAGCCAAGCGGCGTTACCCTCGACGCAGTGCCCGTGCGCGCTCCAACATGTTTTTTGGCCTCACACCTTTCTATGGGGTCCGCTCGTATGGTGAAGAGGACCTTCCCTTCTACGGCAGCGGGGATGGAGCCGGGGCCGTGGTTAAGAGGAGGACTGGTGGCCGTAAGAAGTCAGCTGAGGGGCAGGTGGATGGAGCAGATGATATGAGCACCTCCTCCTCGTCAGGGGACAGTGGAGAGGATGAAGACAGCGGAATGAAACAGAGGGTTAAAGACCCTTACTACTACAACTTCACCCGAACAATAATTAACCCTGGTGAGGGCCTACCGTCTATAGAGGGGATAGACCAGTGTCTGGGAAGGGGGTCCCAGCTTCAGCGCTTTCTGAAAGACGAGGAGCAGCAACAACAAAGGACTCAGGGAAAAGCTGAAGAGGACATGCTGAGTGCTTTGTAAGTACATGCAACTATTTTGATAAAATAATTGTCCAAAATGTTTTTCTGATTATTTTCCGTGGTCTCTAATAATCCAGCATATTGTCTTTTTATGTTGTTGTTGTGTTTAACAGGACTTTAGGCAAGCAGCGTATCGGCCAGCTCGATGGCGTTGATGATGGCTCAGAGAGTGATACCAGCATCTGCACCACCAGCACCACAACCACTACAGCCACCTCCTCGTCCACCCCACATAAGAGCACTCCTAAGAGAAGGGGCAGAGAAAGGCACACCGAGAAACCGGACTCCCATGACTCGAGCAAGGAGGCTGACAACAGTGGCGGAGCAGTAAGCGGCAACACGCGAGAAGGCAGAAAGAACCAGAAAGAAAACTGTCTTCCTTTAGGAGGCGGGGTCAAGTCCCAGCCGCAGAGTCAGGGTCAAGATCCTCTTGAGGCCCAACTGTCCCTCAGCACAGACCTGCTTAAATCAGACTCTGACAACAACAACAGTGATGACTGTGGCAACATCTTGCCATCAGACATCATGGAGTTCGTCCTCAACACACCTTCCATGTCAATGCAGGCTCTGGGTCAACAGTCAGAGCCGTCGTCCTCAGAGCTGCTCCTCGATGAGGGCTATGTGGATGTCAACCGGCGTAAAGACATTCTGTTTGACGACTTTTCCCAGCCGCTGCCCAGTGCTGAGAGTGGAGGTGTGGTGGAAAGTAGTGTGAATAGCTCCATATCTGTGGAGGAGCCATATCTTCCTCTGGAGCTGCCCTCTGACCTCTCTGTCCTTACCACGCGCAGCCCCAGTGTCAGCACCAGTCAGAACCACACTGCTGGGAACCTTATGTCAGATACCTCAGACCGCACCATGATGGGCTTGACCTCTGACCCAGAGACAATAAGTGGAGACAAGAGTGGGGACAAGAAAAGAGCGGGGCCAGGTGTGTCACCATCAGAGAATCAGCGGGATGGTACAACCTTGGGAAACAGGGACACACAGGTCACAGAAGGTCACATGACTCCTGAGCAGTTTATTCCCAGCCCTGCCATCGGCCAGGTGGTTGAACCTCCAGGTAATCAAGATGTTCCCAGGAGTTCTGGTACCCCTGGTTTGCCAAGTTCTCCCTCCCTGCCTCAGAAGTACCTCCCAGCATCAGCTACAGCTGCAGGCAGCCCCAGTCCGGTTCATGGACCAGGACCATCCCAGGCTCAGGTTTCCAGCCCAGCAGTCATCAAACCAGGACCTGACAAGCTCATCGTGGTCAGTCAGCAGTTTCAGCCTCTCTATGTTCTTCAGACTGTCCCTAATGGTGTCACCCAAAAGATTAGTGCCACAGGAGTGATGGACAGCAGCTCTCAAACAGTGCTGAGCTCTATGACACTTACCACAGGGTTAAATACTGGTCTATCCACGGCCCAGCAAATATTTCCTGCTGGTGGCAAAGTCCTGGGCACCATGCCTCACCCTTCTCAGATCCACACCTTTACAGGAGCCACACAGGCAGGCTTCCAGACGGGAATCCCCAGCACCACCTCAGGGCTTCTCATCGGGTTGCCCTCTCAGGCCCACGACCAGTCCCAGATTCTGGTCTCAGAGGCCAGTCGGGCACACGAGCTGGGTCACAGTGTTGCCATAGTGTCAAGTCCCTCTTCCCTCACTTCGTCCCCAACTATACTCGCCTCTGCTCACGGCAAGAAGAGGCCTATCTCTCGTCTTCAGCCAAGAAAAAGCAAAAAATTGGCCCGCTCCCGCAGCCAGCCTACTCTGGCCCCGTCTGAAATGGGCCCTCCCAACATGACCGTCATCAACCTGTCTTCTAGCATCCCAGGCCAGCCTGGTAGCCTGGTTGAGTTAAACACACTGTCCACTTCACAGCGCAAGGTCCCAAATATTATCAAGAGACCAAAATCAGGTGGCGTTATGTACTTGGATCCTAATACTCTCCTGCAGCAGAGGATTCCTGGTACTGCCCAACCTGGTATCCTGGGTCACGATTCCTCTACCCACCTACTACCTTGCACAGTCTCTGGTCTCAACCCCAGTCAGTCAGTGTTAAATGTTGTGTCTGTGCCCCCTAGTGGAGCTACAGGCCTTCTTGCACCAGGATCAGTCTCCCTCTCCACCCCAGTCCTCAGCTCTACTGATATCACAGGGCCAATTAGCAACCTCCTGTTTAAAGCAGGTCCACATGGCTTGGGCCTGTCAGATCAGGCAATGGTCCTTCAGTCGGCAGGAGGAGCTCCTCTGATGTCACAGCTCAGCTCCTCTGTGCAGACATCTATAGCGAGCAGCATCTGCGTCCTGCCCTCCCAGCAGACCATCAGCATGGCTGTCAGCCAGCAAGGAGAGACAGACAGCAGTAATGTCCACTTACACCATCAGCATCAGCCTGTCAACAGAGCCCAGACTGTGGACTCTAGTCCAAACACCACTGTTACTTTAGCTCACGGCCCAGCCACCCCTCTAAGCCCTGCCAAGGGGCGTGTTGTTGGAGTGTTCACTCAAACATCTGCATATTCTCAGAGCAGTAGAACAACTCCCATTTCCAGATCATCAGAACAGAGGCCGCATAACTCCGCCACAGCAGTCGCAGTTTCAGGAGCAGAAAAAGGCAAACAGAAAACAAAGAGGAGCAGGCAGAGTACAGACTTAACCAGCGGGAAGAGGCTAAAGGCCTCTCAAGCCGAGGAGCATGAAAGCAACCCAGCAGGACGACCTCACTCAAACCCAAGGTGAGACATTTCTTATTTTGGCTGCTTGAAATGTATCTATGGTATATTGGGATATATGAAAGTTTCTGTGCACTGTAATATAGTTTGGTTCAGGTATAGAGAAGTGAAATATCTGACCTTATATGAAGACTATCAAATGTTCACTGAGCTTTGCATAAAATATTTTCCTCTCTTTTCTTTTTTGCAAGCAGTTCCAAAGAGCTGGGCTCCCCTGAACCCATGGACACTGGCAAGCCAACAGACAAGGCAACCAACAAAAGGTAAGGAGTCAGCCACGATAGGTGTCCGTTTTCATACCGAACGTGTTAAAGGGTTCTAATGCTTACCTCAAATCTTTTCCAGTGTTCTTGGTAAAAAGAAGACATCTGAAGGCTCTGTTTTACCGGGGAAAGTAATAGGGAAAGACAAACCATCTGCAGCTGGGGGCACAGGGTCTCTTCCTGTGGCTTCACCGCCTGACCAGGATGGAAACAGCAGGGACACCGGCTTGGATAGCAAACCCAAGAAGGGCATCATCTTTGAAATCTGCAGTGAGGACGGCTTCCACATTCGCTGTGAAAGTATTGAAGGTGAGAGAAAACAACCTCACCTTTACCATGTTTGTTATATTTATGTTTCTTTCCCAGTATGCCTCTTGAAAAGGGTTATATAATGTGTGTTTTTTCCCCCACAGTATTGTTTTTTTAAATATTTAACACCTTGAAATACAAGTTATTTAAATATTTTGTCCCACATGTTAAGTACAACATATGCATGAAGTGTATGAACATACAGTGTGCATGAAATCCTTAACTGACCTGCCCTGTCTCATTACAGAGGCTTGGAAATCCCTGACTGATAAGGTGCAAGAAGCTCGCTCCAATGCACGACTCAAAGAGCTCTCTTTTGAAGGTGAGGCTTCACTCTGACTCATCAGAACAACAAAGAACAGTAGCTATGTTGTTGTTGTATTTTTAGAATCGTATCCACTTCTATTTATCTTGACCTCTTCAATGGAAAATGCAAATGATTCATGGCGGACGTGTTTCTTTTCTCTCCCCAGGCGTGAATGGATTGAGGATGCTGGGAGTCGTCCATGAGGCAGTGGTCTTCCTGCTGGAGCAGCTTTACGGCTCCAGACACTGTCGGAGCTACCGTTTCCGCTTCCACAAACCAGAGGAAACCGATGAGCCTCCTATCAACCCCCACGGATCAGCTCGGGCAGAGATCAACCAAAGGTTAGGAAAGGGCCTACACACACACGCGCGCGCGCACACAACTTTTGAGGAAAAGTGTTATTGTGCATACTGTATCAATGTGCACCATGCACATTGATACTAAAACAAGTATGAGGTAATTTCGAGTTTGGATACTGAGTCATTAGACAGTACGATGGCCAACAACCTGCTTTCTGACTTTAATACTTGTTATTGTTGGTTTTAATTGAACTTAACTGTACCTGTTCTTGTGTTTCTGACTGCTGTCTATTCCATCTGTTTACTTTCCAGGAGGTCTGTATTTGACATGTTCAATTTCTTGGCCTCAAAACACCGCCAACCTCCTGAGTACAGGCCTCAAGAAGAGGAGGATGACGAAGGGCAGCTCAGGACTGCCAGGTCAGTTACAGTGTACACAAAATCACTGTTATCTGTTCACAGTAAATATGTCTGTCCCCCCTGTGGATCTTAACTTATCTTACTATTATTCAGAAACTGTCACCATAACATTACTTTTTCATGCTGTTGTTGCAGGCGTGCCTCCATGGAGCTACCACTGACTATACGATTCAAACAGCTCAAGGCCACCTCTAAGGAAACTGTTGGAGTCTACAGGTTAGACTTCGATAATATACTTTGTGACATTAGTCACTGGATTTCTCTGAGACCAGACACTTTTTACCTTGGTGATTGTTGAGATCTGTCGACTGTTGTGGTTGTCCATGAGTTAAATCACTTTGATTACTGCTCATCACAACAATTTATTGTTTGTCAATATTAACTGTACACTTTCAGATCAAGAACTTTGGCCAAAACAAAAGGGTTTAAAACTTTATCCCTCTGTAGGTCTCCCATTCACGGCCGAGGTCTGTTCTGCAAGAAAACCATTGATGCCGGGGAGATGGTCATTGAATACTCTGGAAATGTCATTCGGTCTGTTCTCACTGACAAACGGGAGAAATATTATGATGGAAAGGTGAGGTCATGGGAATGAACTTTGAGTTTAAATTGTATTAGTTGTTTGATTAAGTCATAAGGTATTGGGAGCATTAATAATACAACCTCTGTCTCTTCTTTCCTCAAAGGGAATTGGCTGTTACATGTTTCGCATCGATGACTACGAGGTGGTAGATGCCACGGTGCACGGCAACGCCGCCCGCTTCATCAACCACTCCTGCGAGCCCAACTGCTACTCTCGGGTCATCACTGTGGACGGCCAGAAGCACATTGTCATCTTTGCCTCTCGGCGCATCTACTGTGGCGAGGAGCTCACCTACGACTACAAGTTTCCTATTGAGGATGCCAGCAACAAGCTGCCCTGCAACTGCGGTGCAAAGAAGTGTCGCAAGTTCCTGAACTGATACCCGTATTTAAACTATTTAAAGAAGACTGCAAGTCTGTTGAGCTGCAGTGCCACGATGTTCTGGGGACACCCGTGCCAGGGGGTTTGTCGTGGCGCTGGCTTTATGCCAATTTTCTGAGTCTGGTCCACGTAGGATCACAGCTGCCGGCAGGGCTAGAGCCCTGTCTGTGTTTCTGCTGCTGGTGTTGGCAGAACACAGCAGAGACAGCAGTTGTGGGCCGTACTGTATATACAGGAAGGCCATTTTGGAGGAGGGGCCATTTGTAGAAATTCCAACATATTGTGCCTCCTTTTGTCTCATTTATATTTGGCATGGGAAGTTTCACCTTCAGAGGTGAGTTATGAAACGGTTTGAGCCTTCACAACATTGCAATATTAACTTTTAATTTACATTTGGATATTAAAGTTACCCCCCTGCATAATTTTTTACGTTGGCCCATCCTCCTTAATTTTCTATAAAAACGTTATGGTCCGCTAATGCTGAGATGTGAACATAGAAGAAAAAAAAAAATCAAAGAACTTGGTTCCATTTTACACCAAAGTGCAATTTGTTGAAGGGACTTGGAAGAGTAATTTTATTAGAAAGAAAAATTAGAACCTTGTTAGAATTTCTTTTTTATTTAAATCTCAGTGTCAGCTGTTATTGATGCACATCGCCCTGTCTGAATGTGCCCCGATGCCTTCAGAGTCGTGATATAGTGCAACCTTCCCCTAACTGGGCTTTTTTTCCCTAAAAGCTCGTGTATAGCATCCTGATGAGAGCTGTACAGGTGGAAACACTAGGGGGAGCAGTGGCCATAGAGAGGAAGAGAGAGAAAGGAGACGAGTGGGGGGTTGAAACGGAGGTTGGCCGTTCATGTAAAGGGTGATATCTTTAATCTGACAGTTTGGTAGCTATATAGACATGTTATTGATGGGATTAAGCCTGAGAGATCGAGGCAGCTAGAGATTCTGGTGGACTGACAGCCAAGGGACTGGAGAACCCTACTGATGTGCTTTAGTAGACATATTTATAATTGATTTTTTTTTGTGAGCTGTGATCCAGAAACAGCCATGGATCTTTCAGAAACATACAGACCGACTTGTCGCAAGTTTGTGCATACTGTTGGTATTATCTTATTGGTAATTATATAAGCTCGAACTTTTAAATCACGTTCCAAATTACAGCAGCAAAGAGAACCAAACATCACGCCCTTGAATTGAATTTTCACACAGCTTGTTTTCTTCTTGGCCTGTTGTGATAACCATTACTATGAGAAATGTTTTTTATTTGTATTAAGTCTTTTAAAGTCTTGTCTGTTATCTGTCTTTTTATTACGGACAGGGAAATATCATGCTTGCTTTTAAAAACAAATGTAAATAATGTATATTTTTCTACAAAAAAAAGACTTAAAAAGCACTCACTAGTGAATAGCACTTAATGATGGTATTTATATTTTTAAAAAATCTTATTTATTTTATTGCCATTTTTGTAGGAAATAGAGGTTTACAGACACTAATGCTTGGTCTCTATGTTTTGTATTCCGCTGCCTTTTCAAAGTTGTTTTTTGTTGTAATTTTTTTTGGTTTTTGTTTTTTTAATTTGTAGCCTGAATGTTTTCTTTGATTCCAAAGACTGACACTGGTCTGTGGCTTGGTCCCCTTTTTTAGTTCAGTCCACCAGTAGCTCTTTTATCTATCCTGGGCCATTTGGTCAGAGCTGACAGTTTTTTCATTGTTCCAGTTTGAGCTGGCAGTGTGACAGTCATGTGAACTATTATTATGCACTTGAGAGAGTTTAGATTGTTGATCCATAGCAGATATCTCCTCTCTCCCGCCTTATTGTCTCCACACCACACCACACCATACCACACCGAGAACCCAAGTCCACCTACCGGTCCTGTCACAATGATTCGTTTTTATTACTTGTCACTAATCAGTCATGAGTCGACAGGCTTACGGCCAGTTGGCACATAAAATCCAACAAGAGTCCCATCAGTTTAAACAGTTTTGTCCCTCTGCAGACTTTGTCTATAACAAAGAGGTGCCTTTATTTTAATGCTCCCAACAGCATTCGTCACACGTCCGTTGAGCAAAATCTGTTAATTTAAAACAACCACTCATCGATCCTTACCATCATTTGGAAATCACTCATTTTTCTTTCATTCAGTCTCCTCGTGGTTTGCCTTAGTTATAAATGAGCATGCCTCTTCTCTCTTACAAGCCTTCATGTCCTGGACCGAATATTTAATTAGACTGTTTAGACTGTGGTTCCACAGTGCAACTCAAGAAGTCAGTTACTTTCTTTGTTTTTGTCCCTTTTTTTTTTTTTTCAATTAATTTATTGTTGTCCGCCGTTCGTGCTGACTTCGTTATCACCTAAAGGCCGTTAGCAGCTACTCCCACACTGCTCCTTGTTGTCGTGAAGTGAAACGAAAACATTACCCACACATGGTTTGCACTTTAGCTGTGACACAGGCACTGAATAGACATAGGAAAACTCAGCTCTATCTCCAGACAGACAATGCAACTCCAATGCTGAAACCATAAGCACATGCAGTCACTGAGAATACTTTGAGTTTGTGCATCAGGCCCTGACATATAAACTGCTCAACTTTGATTGGTTTTGATGACTCCTGAAAGTGGCGTTTGAGGCTCTAGCGAAGTGCACTTGACTCTTTTTTTTTCCGAAACAAAGTGAAGGCAGGGACCACGCCAGCAGCCCTTTCCTTCCTGAAGGTGCAGTGTGTACAAACCTCGGTTGTGCTTTTCCATTTACGGCCCAAGATCAAGTCTTGAGGTCCCCCCCACCCCGACCCCTGCCCCAACCAACCCTGACTGACAGGCCAGCCTTGTGGTTGTACAGCTGCACCTACATTGGGCTCGCTGGGTTCTGCTGCTAAGGTCAACAATGAATGTATATTCCTCCTCTACATCATCAGACCCGCGATGATGTCGATACTTTGTCAGCTACATTAGTTTTCAGTCACTCTTGTCAACAACCCTGATAGATATGGAAGACGTGTAGATACGACCTCAAACTGGGCAGCAGCAGCAGCAGGTTCAGCACTGGGAATAATACTGAAGTGTGAACAGCATTTCTGTCTGTAGGACAACTGGTTCTCACTGGGTTAGCTCAACACTTCACGCTAGCATCGGTGATAACACGTTTACTGATGCCAAGGGCTCTGTCTACGACTTTCTCGAGATCCACTTCTGAATTTTCAGGGTCAGAGGGTTCAGTGAACAATAACTCATTTATTTCACTGTTTTAACAGCATATATACAATAAGGAAAATGGTCTCTGTTGTTTCTTTGGATTTCATTTTACCACGCCACACCAGTGGCCCTTCTTCGTCATTATCTGTAATTATAGTATAAATACATAACAATATTATACGGAAACATGCATAGTAATTTCTTGTACTTTAGTATCTATACAATATATGGAATGGACAGACAAACTTAGTTACAGTAGCAAAACAGCAGATTTATAATGGTTAATAGCAATGTTTCAATGTACTCTATAATGGTTTTGTGTTACAGTACTATCAGATGAAACTAACGTGCATCATTCTTTTGTATATTGATATCCAGTACCAATTTTGCTGTGCCTGTGAGTGTTCCTTCGTCATCAAGGAGCATTGCAGTTTATCTTTTTATTTTCTTTCTGGAAAGGAAACGGTTTTTATGTGATGAGAAATGTAACTGTATTAATGTGGTTGTGAACTTCTTGAGGTCAGCCATTTTGTTTTTCTCCCTGGTTGTTGTAGTGAATGTTTTCTGTTTTTTCTTTGTACGTTTTTTAACAGGGAATTTTTAGACAGCTTACTTGATGTGGTATAAATTAAGAGTTTGGTTTGTGGAGACTGACCACGAGTTCTAAAGATCCCACCAAAATGGCATTTTGTTTCATTTTGGAAACCTCTGTGTCTCCCTGACCACCCCTCTCTCCTCTGAAGCTTTGGTTGTACTTATCATGTACTGTTTTTATAGGAAGTCATAATGCTGAGATAATGCTGATGTTGAAAACATTTAATTTATTTATTTTGTGCAACATCCACCCTGAATTGTTCTTTTACAAGTCAAGGTTTGGGAGAGGTCAGACGAGTACGTAACATGTATTTGTAATTTTCTAATTGTTTCTTGTGTATAGAAGTTATCAGCCTATGATGGGATGTGGTGTCACAGAGGGAGAGGATAGTGGGACGTGCAAAAAAAGAGGGATCATGGATCATGAACAGGCTAGATTCTTATGCCTTGACTATACCTTTGTCTTATCAATATTCCTCCTGCGCTCTGTAATAACGGTATCCATGAGTTCAACAGTCATATTTTCTCCCGTTTTAACAGTGTTCTTTCAATACACATCAATGAAATGAAGGAAAACCACCACAGTGAAAATGAACCACAAACTACTTGGTTGAATGTATAATTAGGAAACAAAGTTGTACATAAGTGTAAAAAGAAAAGTTTCTAATCATGTTTATTTTCTATGCACTTTTTTATTTAAGTGATAGTTTAAATAATAAACATGTCTCCTTTACTCTTTTTTGTCTCTTGCCTCGTTCACTGACTGAGCAGCTGTTGAATTTATTAAAAACTGTCTGTCACTTAAAGCACCGGGTCCCAACATGGGGCTCCACATTCCTAAAATATGAGGAAAACTCCTCTTTGATGCAACATTCACAGGAAGTAACCTGCTCCAAGTCACTCATTTTACACAAACTTCCTGCAGTTATTGTGTTCACTATTTGGGTTCATTGTAATTGTTCTGTACTGTTATTGTTAAGCATTGAATATAATATGAATATCTATAAAATATGTCCTAAATGCCTGGACACCCCAGCTGCCACCCCAGTTTGGTGTAAAAAGGCTGTCACATTTAATACTTTCTTTCAGATTCATTTCAAATATGTGTATTTGTTAACTGATTTCTGATGCTACCTTAGATATTTCTATTCAGTGCTTTACTAATGTGCCACAATAATGTGATGTTTTTGACTTCAAATAACTTCATTTATGGGCTTTTCCAAGCAAGTATTGATATATATGATTGTTTGTGAATAAGTTAGCACATATTTCTGACACCCCATAAATATTTCTTTAGACTATGTCACATACTCAAGGGTCATCAGCTAACTTAATGATAAAAAAAGGGTCTTACAGAGAAAGGTTGGGAGCCACTGATTTATAAAACAATCTCACTACAACATACATGTCTTAGCTCTTCTGGAGATTTTGATCATCTCACATGATCTTCATCAGCAGATGCAGTTTCCATTCCTTCAAATGTCTTGTTTTTTTTTAACAGCACTTTAAGGACTTTTTGTCCGTGTTGGTTTAAAAACATCTGCTGAACGCATGATATGACCAAAAGCTCATGAACAGCTCTAATGGACCTTGTGGTTACAACTGCTGTTTCCAAGAAACAAATCAAATATAATTTACACCACAGCTAATCGTTTTTAAAGACAAGCTGTTTGAATGTTTTCAATCTATTACTGTGAGTTTTTGGAGCAAATGTTTGACAAAAGACACATTTAATTAATTTTTGATTTCAAGATCAAATATTCAGCTTTAATATAATTTTAAAACACAGGACTGCACAACGAAATGCAGTTGTATTTGTTAAAATGTATTAAAAGAAATTCAAATATTAGAATAGAATAAAATGGGCAATACTATAGAACAAAGTATATAAAAGTTGCATTAAAGGAAGAAATAAAAGGCAAAACTACCTTTTGTGACATTTTATATTAAATGTCATTGTAAACTCATTTTGTGAATGTGTACAAGTAAAATGTACGGTAGAGTCAGTTATGTCTGGCCACAATAATGAGCTGTTTTAAAGTTCAAAACTGAGCTTTTTTTCTCACAGAGAACAGCTGTTGTGAGAAGTAAGTGCATCACTGCACTACAGTCTGTTTTAAGGAGCACACCATCTATGTTCACAGCTTTGTGAGTTAAAAACATTCCTTACATGTCTTTGTTTTTACTGTGAAAAGTAAGGCGGTTCCTTAAACACAAAATAAAGCTGCTTTGTTATTCAGCTAACCCAATCACACGTTTGCTGTATGTTCACCACCACCCACTAGAAATGAATTAATTATTGTTAGTTTGCCAAATGGTCAAAATTAACAGTAAATCCTCCCAAACAGCAGTTTATGGATTCTTACAGGAAATTAAAAACAGGTCTTGACTCTGCTGCGTCTCACTGCAGTTAGAGCTCACTGCCTCCACAGGATCCTGCTCAAAACCCTCCTCACACCAGCCTGCTGACTCAAATTCAAAGGAAAGTCAACTCTTGCTCATTCCCATTAAAACCAGTGTGTTCGCATTAAAGCACTAATCGGACCCATGTGTTCAGGCAGAGGCGTTTCTGTCTTTGTTCTCAGTGTGACCACATGTCGCAGTTAAAGACCTCATGTTTAAACTGTCGGGTGTGCCCATATTCATGATCAATTATGTAATTTTATTTGCTTCAGTATGACACAGTAACTAACACATAAAGACTGATGCAGTAGTTTTGTTTAAATGATTTACTCCATAGTATTCATTATCTCAGTGGTTGGTAAATTTGTGGCTAAATTCGGCCATATAGCAAAAACATTGTCCCCCTGACTAAAGCTGAAGTTTCCACTGAGACAGTTTACAGTTTTTATAATTTACACAATTCTCACAAATACTGTAGATAAATGTAAATCCTCATAACATTTCATGCTGCCCATACTTGAACAGAGAGGCATGTGAAATGTAGCTACTCTGCCTTGTTGTGCACCAAGCTGTTGTTCAAGTCCAATAAATGTACCAGATTAATACAATTTAGAAATATAATAAAGGTTTTTACTCATTGTTTTAACCTACTTGACCATAACTTATTTCTTCATCACAAACACAAATATGTGGCTGTCTAACTGAAACTGTATGCCGATGACATGTTTTTCTAAGACAGCAAAAACAGCACTTTCAACCATAACTAAAGGCCATTGTTTATAAGTGTGGATAATAATTACAGCTCTAATCTCATAGTTAAACAAAGACACATATGAGCCATGTCCTGCCAAATAAATACAAACATAATCTACTGTATCTCTGTCAGCCCAAACTAACTAATGCAAACAAAAGTCTTACAGACTGTGAGGCGTTCATATTTACAATATGTGTGTGTGTGTGTGTGTGTGTGTGTATATATATATGCTATATATATATACTGCAGACTGACTTGGTCTTTGAACATGAGTATTTGACCTCATGGTGGTGCTAGAGGAAGAGTCTGGGGATCCACAAAGTCGTTTGGATGTATCCTCTTGGGACCATGAACATCTGTTAAGATATTGCAATCTGAACCAGACTGACATTTCCATCCCTACAGCTGCTAACATGGCCTAAAAATGATAGCAAACCTGTGATATGTTTGCTGTATTAACTGAAAATCAACATGATTTATACATTTGTTTGTTTGTTAAACATAAACTCTGACTGCCCTGTATCATACAAAACACAGTCCTGCTCCAAGGCTTCACCCTGCTTGTGTTCTGTTTTCTCTTCTCTCACAGAGATTACACTTGTTGGACTGTGATCTCACACTGCTCTACCATCCCCGGTTTTGGCACAGTTCTGGTCAATTTGGGGTCGCTGCTGCACGATAACAGCAAGAACATGTTTCCATTGGCCTTAATTCAAAGGAGCTGCGAAATGTAACCAGCTCAAGTTTAGCTTTCTTGCCAAAAAGATATTAAGACCTCTTGCTTTTATCAACTTAATGCTGCCACTGAGGGATTACAGGGCAAAGAGGATTACTGTCAGATAGTCTTGCCTGAGTAGAAGACTGATATTAGCAGGGAGATGCTATCTGAATGGAGCAAATTGCCTCATCTTAGAGGCAGATAATGAAACTCACAGAGCAGAATATGTGAATGTGTGTGCGTCTGTTTGCCTTTGTGTCAACTGACGTCTGTATTTGTTGCTCTCTCTTTCCCTGTCTTTTTAAGCAGTGGTGTTTTAATATAATAAAGTGAGGAGGACAGCTCATTTTCAGCTCCAGTTCATTGTGGTGACATTTGCCTTTTTCTGACCGCAGCCCTCTGAACTCTCTGTGTCTCTCGTGTCTTGGAGAATTTCCCAAACACTGTTATGTAATCTCCCAAACATTCCTCTATTTATCATCCTCTCCATAACTTTTCTCCCCCCCCAAAAAAAAAAAATCGCTCCTTTTATATTGATTTTGTCACCGTTTTGTTTTGTAATTGGATATTTCTCTTTTATTTGTGCTGGATAAACATCAAATATTTTCCTCTGTGTCCTCCCTGTTCTCTCTCTTCTCCACCCTCAACCCCTCCTCTCCCTCCCACCCCAGTTTCTAATTGGATTTCATTATTTCCTTTCAGTATTTCCCAGCCAGACTCTCTGGTTGGGAGGAACAGCTTTCACTGGATTCTTGTCGACACTCACGGACATCAGCAGCAGCTGCCGCTCTCAGAGACTTCACTACATCATCTGGTGAGTTTTTGATGATGATTATGATTTTATTTCCTGAAATATGAAAGAAAACTGCTTGTCATGGTTTGAATTTCATGGCAGGTGAAATCTTCATGTCAGGGTGCAGAGAACAGAAGTACTGGCAACCTTTGTTCCCTTCAGACCACTAAAGTGCATCATTGTGTATTATGTAGACATGGGCTGGATTATATAGAAAACAGTGGAAGAAGTATTCAAAATCTGCACAGCAACATGTACTTAAAGTATCACAAGTAAAATCATTATGCACCAGAATAATATGTTAAATGTTTAAGCAGTATTATAATGTGGTAGCTGGTCAAGATGGATTATGACTACATTATGACCTTCTTATAATCTAATAATAATAATCTGTGAAGTAAGTCACTAAAGCTGTCAGTTACATGGAATAAAAAGAACAATAATTATCTCAGAAATATATCGGCGTAACAGTACAAGTTAACAAAAAAGTAACACTATTTTAAGATTACCTAAAGTCAATGTATTAAGTTACAGTTGTTTCCGGGGAAGGCATTATTCAGCAATACAGCAGCCAAATAAATGAGCAGCTCTTACAGTAAATGTTGATAATATCAATGCACTCCAGCTGGTCTTGAGGCAATATGCCAAACTCCTCCAAATGGCTGCTGGAGCTTACATAGAAATCATGTCTTTGAACTGCCTGTAAATATGGTCCAGATGGAGAAGCTGAATCCAAATCACTGGACTCGCTGAAATCAAAGCTCCAGCCCAGTGATTACGTTCAGTTGATTCGTCTTTTGTGCAGCTTTTGAAAACATGTTTCTAATCATCTGAGGGCTACTGAGGAGTGGTGGCAGACAGCTGTTCAGACTCCAGTATTTGTCTTCTTGTCTGCTCTCCTCTTCTGCCAGGAACGCTGACATGCATTTCTTCCTCCCTCCTCCTTTTTTTTCTCAGTTTCTCTCTTTCTTCCCTTTTCTATTCTCCCCTCCTCCCCCTGCCTCTCCCTTTTTTATGGATGTAAGCACTCACTTCCAATTAGACAACCCGCAGATAGATGACAAAACTTTTCTCATCATTGTCAAACACCACAAACAGCAAGTTCTCGTTAGTAAAGTTGGGAGTCCTACAAGATGCTGGTAGCTGCTAGTCCTCCTGCTCAGCTCATCAGCTCAGTTTATGGTCCTGTGACGCCTGTCCTGCCCCCAGACAGACGAGACGAGCTGGTGTCCCTTGACCAAAAACCCTGTGAGCAAAGGTGCTGAAATACAAACGCTTTAGTTTATGGGCAGCAGAAGTGAACAACATGATATCCCTTGTACTGTCCGAGCAGGGTCAGCTGAGGATTCAGGTTCTTGATTCAGGTTCATGCACAAATAGGAAACAGAAGCAGACAGAAAAAGGGGATTTTTGAGGAATTTGAGGATGAACCTTTAAACTTTTAGGTGTGACAGTGAGCAGTTTCTGAGTAGACCGTCTGGTTTTCCGCATCTCATCAAGCTTTTACTGGAAACATCTGTTTAGAAACCAAGTGTGCCATGTTTTCTTTTGAAGATATGATGAATCATTAGTTCAGGAATTTGACTTCTATTCCTTGGATCCCTAAAAATACAGATTTCACTTAAATATGTAGCCATTATAAATGTGAGTGTTGGAACATGTTTATTTACATGGATCTTTGTATAATTATACCAGTGTATAATGTAAAACTACTGAAGGCCATTTAATAGAAAAGGTGTTTGGATCAAACCTTTGCTGATACAAAAGTTAAATCAGAAACCCTTTTCTGTTTTCCATTGGTTGTTATAGAATCATCTTTTATTTATGCTCATTTGTTCCATCACTCTTCCACCACGTGCCTTCCCTGAAACAGAGCAGGCTGTTCTTAGTATCCTGACTCTCAACTTGGAACCGAAAACTGCACCTGTGTTAATAAATACAGGTTCCACATGGGTGTTTACATTACAGCCAAATCTCAGTAAGAAATCTCCACTCAGGCATGTTTTCATATTCTTAGAGCTATTGGATTTTGAAGACATCTACCTGAGTGGAAGACAAACTGTCATCTGTTCAAAATGTCTGGTTACTATTACAGTTCTGGCAACACTGACATCTCGTGAATAATACCAGTTTTACTTTGTACTGAAAGTTATTGAAAAAACATTATGGAGTATTTATTATGTTAATAAAAAATAAACTGCAAGATTAAATATTTTTAGAATAAGTACTCGTAAATTTTGGAGTAGGTATTTAAAATGATTAATACTAAATTCTTTTTAGATTTGGTTTGGGACTAAATATCACTGTGCTTGACTCATGACTCCGATCACGGTCCAGTATTGAAACAGGTCTGCATGAGAGAACAATAGACCTTAAATTGATTTGATACTGAAACCTTTGTAACCCTGCTCCATAGTATGTTTGACAAGAAAAGATAAACAGAATATTATAATGTAAGGCCTTAAATTATGCTGTAAAACACTCATTTCAGTGTGTTTACATGTGTTGTTCTCTGCTTCTGTAATTTGATGTTTGTTTTAAAGTAAATAGTGGCATTTGTGGTTCACTTTTGTTTAATCAGATCACTATTTTCCCATCGTATGTAGTCCTTTTGTGTTACTCCCCCACAGACCGTGTTTGTAAACCGAACTGTTTCCCTATTTTTCTTTTCTCTCTCAGCCGTGACACTGCAATGACCTCGCTCCGGCTGTTGTTCCTACTGCACTCCCTCCTTGTCCTCCAAGTCCATCTTTCCAACCAGTTAGAAGACAACAAGATCCCTCCCAGTCTGTGTACTGGTCACCCTGGTATCCCAGGCTCTCCTGGAGCTCACGGCAGTGCTGGTCAGCCAGGGAGAGACGGGAGGGACGGGAGAGATGCTGCTCCGGGAGAGAAGGGACAGAAGGGCGACAGGGGAGACCAAGGTGCTCTATTTGATTTCTTTATGTGTGAGTATTTGATAAATGTCCTGAGATACTCATGTCTGTGCTCCTCCTCTTGTCCAGGTGAGACAGGACTGCGAGGCCTGACCGGAGACAGAGGTGACCCAGGAGAGAGAGGAGAGAGGGGGCAGGCAGGGGAGTGTGCTGTGGCCCCCAAATCAGCCTTCAGTGCCAAACTATCTGAAGGCCTCTCTTTACCCCTCACTGTAGGCGACGTGGTCCGCTTTGACAAGATTGTGATCAACGAACAGGGTGACTACAACACAGAGACGGGACGCTTCACCTGCAAAGTCCCTGGAGTTTACTACTTCGCTGTCCACGCCACAGTCTATCGTGCCAGCCTCCAGTTTGACCTAATGAAGAACGCACACACAGTGGCATCTTATTTTCAGTTCTACGGCAACTGGCCCAAACCGGCATCTCTGTCAGGCGGCTCCCTGCTTCACCTCGTCCCTGGCGACCAGGTGTGGGTCCAGATGGCTCTGTCAGAGTACAATGGATTTTACTCCAGCACCAAGACAGACAGCACCTTCACCGGCTTCCTGGTGTACTCAGACTGGAAAAACTCTGCTGTGTTTGCATGACATGTGCTTATGAACAAAACAAAGTCATATCCCACTTTGGGAAATGAACCACAATTTTGCCTATTTCAGTTTTCTAATTGAGAAGTTCTGGATAAAGACAAGTGAATAAGATGTGTAGTACATCTGTATTTGTTTGAGAAGTAAAGAACACACCAGACAATGTTACTTGAATGGCACATACCGTACTGGTGACGTGTAAAGGCACACACATGAGCAGTAATGTTTATTCAGTGTCTGTTCTTCAGTTGCAGCTTTTAAACTGTCGTGACACTTAATTCTTATAACAGATGTTGTGACAACGGCCTCCAGCCAACTCCAGGCCACAAATTCAAACAGCTTCTACTCTATTATTGACTTTTGTTTCCCATCAATTTCTTCACAGCGAACATGAAAAACTTAATAAATCATCATAGTTTTTAAAACACAAATTACTGACATATTCTTGGTTATAAATACACATTCATGCAATAAGTCAGTTGTACGCTTTTAGCTTCAATCTCCAAACATCATATTTGTGTCACTTTCTCATAACATGCCTGCCTGTGCACACATCTGTTTTGAAATGTAGACATTTAACTGGTTGCAGTGGTGGAGGAAGTACTCAGATGCTTTAATTAAGTAAAAGTACCAATAAAACTGTGTAAAAACATTTGTTAAGTCCTGCATTCAAACTCGTACTTAAGAACAGTCTGTTAGGTAGAGAAGGATTTAAGCAGCAACAAGGAACTTTTATTTTGTGTTTTTTTCTGGAGGTTCTGGAGGTGTTTCCACTACCTCATTTCATTGATTTCAAGGGGCATCTGACCCGGTGGCAGGCACTAGGAATAAATATAGAAGAGAAATAGCCATGTTCTCGCTGATGGTCTGGTGTGAATATGTAGGTCATATAAAGGCCCCAGTATTGAATTAGACTGTTTCATAACCTGTTAAAACTCTGTGTAGTATAGATTTAAAGTAGAAGTATTCATTCTGCAGAAAAATGGCCCTCGACTGATATATTATTATATGATATTGATGCATCAGTATTAACAATTTAATAATGTGTATTTTACTGTTGTAGCTAGTGGAGCTAGTTTTAACGATACCGTTTGGTATTTTAGTCCAGTGGTTTCCATCCTAATGGTCTCCTCTTCTGAAATGCCACAAGATAAATCTGTGAGGTTATGAGATGATTCATGAGGCAGTGTCTTTCTTTGCTCTATTTCTGTTCCTTTTATTTGATAATTTTACCTTATTGTGGCACGGAGCAGGTGCGGGCGGAGACACTCAACAGAGACAGGGATATAATAAAGGTATTTATTGTAAAGGCTGAGGGAAGATAATAGAGGCCTGGGGACACTTGGCCGCAAGCTGGGAACATGGGTATCCAGGGCCGTAAAGCAGGGCTGACCAGACGAGGGGCTGGAGACAAAGACCAAAGCCAGACCAGACAGAGCTGCAGGGAAACAGGATTAGGCAAAGGGGGGAAACAGGCAACAAGAAGAAAACTGGTGATGAATTATAAAAATGGCTCAAAGAGTAGACTGACTGATGCAGAGTGGAAGTGGCAGGGCTGAGTGTTTGCAGAGGTATTGATTTTTGAGATGAGGCTCAGCTGATGCAGCTCTTGTCTCCACTTACACAGTCACACAATTCAGGGGGAGGCAGCAGGTTAGGGAGACACAGGATCGAGAGACATTGAGCCTCAAACTATCTTAGAAGTTTAGAAGGGAAGTTGCTCTCTGTTGGAGCTATAACAGCTAATCTGAATCATGATAATCCGACACTGCCTCACAAGCCAAAAAGGTCAGAACCCACCAGCTTAATCTTTCATGAATTCAAAAGGTATAACTAGCAGCTATTAAATAAATGCACTGTAGTAAAACTGCAATGTTTTCCTCTGAAATGTAGTGCAGTAGAAGCATAAAATGGAAACACTTAGTACAGTACTGAGTAAAATGAATGGTCACTTTCACGTGGCACTTTAATCAATAAAATTAAACACCCAACTCTCTGTTTTTTATCCTCAAAGGCAAAGAACTACCAAAGTAAATATCATAATGAAAAAGGTTGGAAAAAATTCATTTTCCACTGGATTTACTCTGTTTACCTCTCGCCTAATGATTTCACCAAACGCTGTAAGTACCTTGACAGACTCTCCAGATACATTTCAACACTGTGAGCTGATTTATGCAAGTCATATCTTTCTTCCCAGTCACCAACGATCATTCAAAACAATAACATGTATTATTTAACCGAGCTGAGTCATTGTCTCTTGACATTTTACTTCTGGCGGAAGTTTATTTAGGAGTGTAAACACTAACAAAACTCAAAGTCTCTCTGTGCCTGTCAAATACACTACCTCACACATGAGGAAATGTTATTTTCCCTTCACTCCCTACACATAATTACGCTTTAAATATATCCCCATAACTTTTCCCTCTAGGGTAGAATGAGAGAAGCAGGGAGTTAATCAATCTTCCCCTGGCATCAATAAGTTATTTCCATTAGTTCACGGCCTGTAAATCGTTCTCTAACTGCTTGAAGTCGATGGCCAAGCAGACAGTGAAATCACCCTGAAATACAGAGCTCTCATTGGTGGAGTTGTGTCTGTTTGTGTAAAGAGGAGTTTGACGTCTGGATTGATGAGTTGATACTTACACTGCATAGTTGAAATAGATTAGGAGGACTTTAGAAAACACTGAAATCAAGATTCCTCTAGCACTTTAAGATATGTTTGACTAGCCACTAAAAATGACTAATTAAATTAATTAATTCAAGTTAGATTATATTATTAGTACATTTTATGTCCCTATGTCATTGTCTAAAAGCTGCTTTAAAGAAAAAAAAATTCTACTCAAAATATTTACATATTTCTACAATATAGTCATCACTGTGACTCCAGGAAGTCATTGTTCCAGCCAAAAAATAGTCCGGGATAAAACCCCCCACAAATTTCCTTCCTTTTTACACTTTTTTGTGTGTGGATCAAACAAGATATAACGAGTTAATTAGTGAGCTATAGAAGTATACAGGAAGGTGTATTTTGTTACCAATCAGGCTAGCTGCTTCCCCTACTTCCAGTTTTTATGCTAAGCTAAGCTAAGCAGCTGCTAGTGGTACCTTTTTTATTTATAAATGGATCAATCAATGGATCAATCAATGGATCTTGTCAACCAACTCTCTCTGCAAGCAAGCAAACTGCCATCTGTCTCAAAATGTCAAACTATTCCTTTAAAGCCTTCTCCAGTCCCATTAAACACCTGGACTATATTTTAAAGGCCCTATCAAGAACCAGTGTTTGGCTCTTATTATACACTAATGAAAACATACTATACTCAATGTCTGCCAAAAGATCCTTCTAAATGTTGTCCACACACTGGACCTTTTAAATTAGTGAATAAATTAATTAGACACATATTTAAAGACATTTAGTCCAAACAAATAACAAAATCACCCATCAAAACCCATCATATATAAACATCATAAACATAAACTTCATCCTCAGTTTACCAACAATACATAACCTCATTGTCCTCAGTGACAGCGATTCTCCAAATTAAAGTTGAAATATATGTAGGTGTTAACTCTGAAGCAGTGTGATTTGAAACCAAATGTTGCTGATGAGTCACACAGCCAGAATCTAGATGAAATATGCTGCTACCGACTGTGTTATTCTCAGTGGTTTGGCTTCAGCAAAGATGGTTCAGCTGTAGTTGGAGGAGGTACTGTGTTTGTCCAGCAGGGGGCAGTGTGGTATCACCATTCAGCAGCTTCTGTCTGCAGGAACATATGAGAGTCTCATCACTTTGTGCTTCATATTATCGGGGCAGGACTGATCATTTCAACCAGCTGTATCAACAGTCTCTGAGTTGTCTTGATGCCGTGCAGCAGTGGCTGTGCACACAGGAATGTACTGTAGGATTTTATTATTCATCACCCGTTCCAGTACCTACGTCCCATTATGTCATAAAGGGACTCAAATATTTATTGATCATATTCTTCCTTTAACAGAAATGAAGTGATTTCTTCCAAAACCAGATATTTACCTTTTGAAACTTAACTGCTCTTAAGTAATTATTAACACAAAAAGGTTAATTAGACATTTTTAGTATATAAATAACTAACTTATAAATGAAGGCCTTTACTGTCACACTATTGGCACTTATGTGAACAAAATCCTAAATAAATGCTTAACCAGAGGGATAATTTGTGAAGTACCTCAGAAGTACTGTAGACAGATCAATAAGTAGCCCTCATTGATCCACCCTGTGCTCTCCTTTGTTCATTATAAATGTATGAAAGCTGGGGGAACATTAACACACTTACTTTGAAAATCTGTGAATACTAAATGGAGTTTGGAACTGTCTGCAGATCAGCATGCAATATAAATAAATTGTTCTAGCCACTGAGGTGTGAGAGAGTTTTATTCTCCACTGAGAAACAACTACGACTGTGACAATTACATGTCGAGGAGTTTTATATGCATTGAAACTTGAATATGTTTTCATTTAGTCCCACTTTTCCACATTCCTACGAATGTAATAACAAGTAATCTCTACTACGATTGAGGCATTTTGCATGTTATTTCTCAGACTAGACTTTAAGATTAAAATAGATTTTTCACTTTTCAACTTTCTTGCCCTTGTAAGAAAACATATACAGTTTAGTCTTCGGAGAGTTACTGAATCAGATATTCAGGATGTTCTCATACAAACTCTTAAGTTTGCATAATGTTTGAATTGTTTACTGGAGTTCTTTTCTTGTTCTTACTGAATGAAACATTGCTGTTAAAAATGTATTCATTTCACGATGTTGATTTTATCATGATACCGACTCACCAGTTCTTCCAAATACAGATGTATTTACACTATAATCAGCCACTTGAGTGCACACAGGCGATCTCCATTTAACTTATTGTGTGACTTCTACAACCAACTGGCTGCACCACTGATGATGATTTAGGTGTGTCACATTAAAGGGGCTGAATACTTCTGCAAACCTGTATGTTAGACAGTATTTGTAATTCATTTAGATTAGATGGATTCACTTTGAGTCTTTTTGTGTTAACCAGTGCCAGAAAAGTCATATTGCATCACCTTTGATTCAACGTTATAAAACAATAAAATATGAAAACTCACACTCTTTTGTACTTTTATAGGCACTGTATTTAAATCAGTAAAGGTACAGGATGTATGTGAGTAGATTTTAAGTACTCTTTTAGCCCAGGCCATCCCTCTTTTTGTGTAGGAACAATGGCACATTTCAGTCTGAAGGTGACAGTTCAAGCACCACTGGGGGCTCCTATAATGAGACCTCTGATCTGATGGCTATCATCCAGTTTCCTACTTCAGGAGTCACCAGCTTTAATCTCTGCATGGCCCATACATCACACACTGCATTTATATAGGTTATCAGGATTATCTGTATTCATTACAACAAACCTCTTAATTACTGTTGAGTCAGGGTTGAGTGGAGGCCAGGGCTAATGAGCTGCTTGACTCGTCTTCTTTATCTCTTCACATTACTGTCAAGCTGTTGTTTGCCATTTTAATTTAGTGACACTGTTTTCTCTCTGTTTTGTCTTGTTTTAGCTTCTATAAATCCAGATTTTAACTTCTATCTACAACATTTTGGTCTCTATTTAACTGCTGTCTTTACATCATGTTAAAATCAGAAATAGAAACACTACTCTAGATCCCTGCTATAGCTCATCTATGCAGGGAAATTCTCTTATTGTTTACGAACCCCATAGGGAGGTCAGAGGTCAGGGTCAACTCCCGATCAGCACTGTTTGTCTTTGACATTTTAACAGGGTGGATGCTGACTGTTGTGATGGCTTGAACCCTTCTGGTTTTGACGATGTTTTCCCACTCATTAAGACACCAGCATTCAAACACACACTTTATGGTTGATGGAGAATTGAAGAGTCAGGGTAAGAGATGGAGACAGTGATCATAAACAGAAAACGTAGGGCCTGAGTGAGGCAGGGAAGAGCACACTAGAGTTTGACATTTTCCCACACTGCTCCCTGGCCAGGACCACCGGGGTCAAAAGGAAGAGGTTGAATCCCTGGAGTATAAAGCTCTCCTTTGGTTTACTCCTCCCTGCTCTTCCCCTGACATTACACTTCCTCTCTTCTGTTAACACCATACTCATTTAAAACTAACACATAAACACTGTTGAGGCTGGGCTCGAGGGGCGGGAGACAAAAAACAATCACTGGATTTGTTCTGTGACCTCTAACAGAGTGTTTATGTTGTGTTTAACCCTTACCTACCTGTGCACACCTCTCAGCTGTTGAGCCACACATGACTTCAGTACCAGTGAATGAGAGCATGAATCAACAGTAAAAGATGCCCAATGTCATGTTCAGAGACAAATTCATGAATGAGATGAAACTTAAATTATTACTGCAAAAATACACACATTTTAATCCACAAATTAAAATGTCTTAATGTCACTGAGTGCATTCTTCTATCACAGCAGATATGGAGCTGGAGATATTTTTAGAGAGGACATTGGGAACGGGAATAAGACTATAAACCACAAGGCTCTAGTGAATTGTCATATGTTGGTGGAAGTGGTCCCATATGACCATTAGGGGCCCACTCCTCTAACCCTGCAACCCTCCTGCAGCCCCCAAACACTCCCCTTATCTTCACACAAGATGGAAGATGAACTATCTCTGGACTGAACTGCTGCATTATAGGGTTGAAAAAGTGAAAGTAAACTTGTGGATATACTTCCCACTGTATTCCAGTTGTAAAAATGACCCACTACATAAAGCCCCCGGGGATAAACTGCAGGCTGTGTGGATGTCATGAACAGATGGTGAAATCATTGAAACCAAAAAGATACAGAGGCCACATCTTAAAATATGTAGCTTTTAGTAAACTATGTTGGAAGGAATGTAAGACGGAAATGTGATTCTGCATAGGCCCTTTTCACAGCAGACAATAAACTATGATTTTACTAATAACATTAACAATAGCTCTTTTTCTCTATTTACGCCTCATTTAAGAACCAGTGTGTAGGATTTAGAGCCATCTAGCGGCGTACTTGCATATTGCAATGCCCTCTCATCACCCTCCTGCTCCAAATATGTAGGAGAAGATATGATGGTTGCGACCTGCAGCATCTGTAGATAAAAACGTCTCATTGTAAGGTACACAAATGAAAACATACCCATGAATATTATATTAAATTTC